CAATAATATGAAGCGCATGTTAATGTGTATAACAAAATTCAGTTTGATTAATTTTTTTAATTGGAGACTATACTTTGAAATAAATAATTTAGTCCAAAAATTCTAGAAATGCAGTTTTATGTTCTTCGCTTGCATTTACAAATCTCTTGTTTAAATGATCCACTGACATATATTAAGTGATGAATATTCCCGTTCACACCTTTGTTTGAATATTATTTGATAAACTTGGTGAGACTTCTCAAGCTTCATTTTCTTAAAAACTTCTTTAAATGTTTATGACTTTTCTAAGTTGAATTTTTCATCTGCCTCAAATTTTTATTACAAAACAATTTTCAGCTAAAAATTGATATCCAATATCATCGTTAAGAAGATATTCACAGATTTGCTCTAATTTTTGCCTGATTTGCACAAATTCTAACATTGAATAAAAAGAAAAATATTTATCTGCATTGATTAAATGTAATAAAATATTTAAGTCATATTATCCAGTTTCATTTTGTGTCAAAGATGATTGTTGGAATACTTTACATATTAAATTTTATATATGGAAAATTTATGCCATAATATTTTTTAAGAAAATGAACTAACTATAAAATAAAATGTAAAAGATGTTGTGAATTTAGTATAACGAGTTGCTTGATTTTTTTTAATTTAAATAACAACAATATTTTCTCTTATCTTGAAATATCTTTATGCTCTCTTGATGTGAAAGTATATCCTGCATGTGTAAAAGAAGATACTTGTCAACTTACCGAAAATTTCCTTTTATTAAGAGGAGTATCAAACTATGTGTTGTCTCTATTTGAATCTAGGAAAGAATTCAAGTATATAGACGTGAATAAGATCACTCAATGAATGTTATCATTAATCGTAGGGCATGACTTTATGGACCCTCACACTAAATCGAATAAATTTGAATCACAAATCATATCTTCGTGCTATTGATGCGTTGTGAGTAGAAAGATTCAGGAACTGCTCGAAGGATTGATTCACAAAAAAAATGAACCTCCACGAAGTGATATAACCCATATTTGTAAAATTAGTCAAAACAAATTTTGCTTGCATCCAACTTGATAAATCAAGATAGGGTAGTCTTGCGCTAGTCGAATCTATCCAGGTCGATGAATCTGATAGACCATGTGATCATTCTATAGAATTTGAATTTGTGCCTACCAACTCTCTTTGCGAGGTGGAGCTTATTGGGTCCTTTATATGCACACCCAAATTGCCTTGACTACACCATACGTACTTTTCACTAGCGGTAACTCTGTCTTCACCTTCAAAAGGGAATGGGGCGACAGCTGCATAGAGATTACACTTTATGTCTTGGAAAGTACAGTATATCCACTGATTGCATAGTAGGAAATATACGAGGATCTGATACGAAGTATGTAGTATGTGCACAGGGTTTGCGTTACAAATGAAGCCGGTTATAAAGTTTACAGTTCATAAGTACGAATTAAATAGTAGCTACTTTGTTTCAGGGGTGAAAAAAACCCCGATTTTCATTGAAAATATTTTCGGGTTAATCACAAAACTTTAAGAACCTAATTTCAACAATGGTTTTAATCAAATGTATTAGACTACTGTGATGAATCAAATATATCCATCTGATGAAACTCCCACTATATCATAATTTTAAATAAGAGGTTTGAAATACATCCGCTACCCAATCTCAAGAACAGGTTTCAGAGGTAGAAGGTTGTTTTTTGATGATCTGTTCAGTAAAATGCACATTTTCAGTGAGTCGCAAGAAAGTTAGAGAAATTCTCAGACAAGAAAGTCCGAATCATGTTACAGTAGTCTCCCGGTTAAGTACGCACCCGTTCAGTTGTGCATCCCGGTTAAGTACGCATTTTTTTTGCACAAAAATAAAGTTCAACCCATGACATGTCGTTCATTTGGTTTATGGTAAAAAATTGTTACTCCTTCTAGTGTTTGTCTCATATCTGATTAGAAGCGTGAACCTCTAGTGGCTGATATATACTCTTTAACATTAGAGACAAACTCTCATCATAGAGATAAAAGCAAGCCACTATCCCAAAATGAATAAAAGATTATATCATCTTTTTGAGGTTTTAGATTGTATTGGGCTATAACAATTAACGTTGCTAGAGTCCATGATAAAATTTCAAATCACTCTCCTAGAAGCAACACCTTTTACACCTCACTTGGCAATTACAAATATGTGCTGGAGTCCATATATGAAATCAATAAACTCAATGCAACATTTGTTTATTTGGCGGTGTCAATAGATGTTAGAAGAGTGAGACTACAAAGTCTTCTCTTTAACTTCATCATACAGTAACTCAATTTAGCATTGTGATTTGTTCCGTTTGTCTCATCTTCATGATCAAATCACTTGAAAGTTCAAGCTTTTCCAATAGAATCATGATTTTGCTCAGTTTCTCTATGATATCAAATAGCGCCGAGTCATTTAAGAGTGTTCATATAAAGTTCCTTTGACATTACACTCAAATCAAACGATTAGGAAGTCAATATGCTTAAATTACGCACCTCCCGGTTAAGTAAGCAGAATCTCTCCCGGGTTCAAAGTGGGTACTTAACCGGGAGACTATTGTACTGTCGATTCTAAAATTTGGTTTCGCCCTGTAACGTCGATCTGACCAACAAAAAATTGCAAAATACCAACGTACTTATTGCCGAGCAAATGACAATTACTTGGAAACCGGACAAAATCAACCAGAAACGAATATCATGATTAGCTGTCTAATATCATCTTATTCTGAGCCAATGGAACCATCTGATCTACTCTTTATGTGCGCTACGTACGGCGGTCGAGAAAGAGCGTCATCTCAGTACGGTTTTAGAGTAAGTGGTTTGCGACAGTCAACGATTGCATCGAACGGTGTTAGCAATATCTACAACCGGCATGGGATTAGGACTGTCAGAGGTTTCAAATATCTACATGCCCCAAGGATAGACTGAGAGCACACTCCATGGCGGACAAAATTCTGTACTCGAACCAGGTTTCCAAATCAAAAGATAGATACTGGACAATTTTATTGATTTCATGGATGTTCGAGAGACGAATTCACGAGTGACTTGTTCACATGTTCTGAATGGATAGACCCTCCAAGGTGAAATGGTACATAGCCCGTAAAAGTTGATTCTGCGTAATAACTCAGAAAATTCTGGCTCTCTCCGCATGAATATCATATGGTCAACAGCTGTTCCTGGTCATTGAGATATCTTTACCTCTATATACTACTGGGACTAATCATACGATTGAAGGCATAACCTCTCCAACAACAGCTGCTGATTGATATTTCTATTCACACTAACTACTACTACTGGGACTATCGATTAATAAGTTTCGTGGTCTGTAGTAGGGTTATTCACATCCGTACTGGTCTTAGATCCATATTTGTCGTGAAGAAAGGTTGTGATCGGACTAGTACATTGTACTCACGAAATTGTAGTCATCTCCACTTCGATCTAAGCTGGTTCTTCCCCCACCCTCATCTGGGAATCCAGCACAATTGCAGCCGCAATGCTCACCCTGGCGAGTCAAATTTTTCCTTCCCTCACCACTACTGCTTGAAGAGCTTTCGATAATCAGAGGTTCTATTAAAGGGCAAAGTGGCACCTATGGGGACGCCCAGAGATGCCACTGTGCACGACGTACAGTGGCATCTCTGTAGATTCCTGTAGATTATCCAACCTGGGTGCAGCTGTCGTAACCATTTTGTTCTTAGTTTTATTCTCTCAACCATCGCCCCCAGTTCTCATGGAGCTGATGGAGTCCTTGATCACGATGACCTTGTCTCACTGGAAAGCTGACTTCGTGACGATGTGGAAAGTCGAGGTTTATCGTCTGTGAACGATGGACTGGAGCAGCATAGAGAGAAATAGGAGCTCACCTTGCGCGGCCAAATTTCAAAAAAGAAATGCACAGACCAATGCTTATTTGCTTTTCATTTGAAACGAAGTTTTCAAATATGCACAGAATCTTCTGGGCCAGCAATGTTACGATGATGTTACACAAGTTGCCGAAGTCGAGCCGAGTGGATGCATTGAATTTACCACGCTCTAGGTGCACATCCTCCAGAAATTCTAAGGAGCTTGATACATGTATCACAAGAAACGAACAGTGAGGTTCTAAACTCCAATTCTATGGTGGCGAGTTTTAAATCGAATCAAATATTCAGATATTGTGATGCGCGTTGACAGGTTTGTGTTCGCATTTGCAAGGTGACCATCCGAGTCATAGCGGTAGATAGAGAAATGGGACATCGGTTTCGCAACAAATAACTTTTACGAAGGAAACTCAGTAACTTGCAAGAGGCACTGCATGCAACTTGTCGTTGTTGCAAGTATATTCCCGCTAGCTCGAGCTGAGAATTTGTAGCCGAGCAGAAGAAAATCATGACAATGTCTCGAGTCAATCCGATATTTAAGCATTGTCACGACACATCTATTGTGCAACGGCATGGCGAGAACGGTGAGAAACGTAAGTGAGGTAGTTCAAATATGCGTTATTTATCTTTTGACTTGGATTTGTCTCGAGGACAAGGAGTGGCTGCCAATGTATACTCTAGCTGAATTCACACAAGGACCTCGTCTATTTACCGATTTTGGATCCAGGAGATACCAGCAGCTGAATTCACTCCGAAGAAACAACCATCCACTTCAAGTTTTCATTGGTTCAAAACATTTGAAATCTAATCAATTTTTTAGAACGATTAGTAATTTCAATGCAGGCGTATTTTGGACCGATCCATCTCAGGCTCGCATGGGAGGATGAAGAGACATTTGTTTACGGCTAGTAGCTGTCAAACAGCAACGTATACTTCTTGCGCCAGATCTGGACTCCATGAAATCGATTGAGAGGATATCTGACGATTCTTGTTAAGGACAAATTTCAAAAGCAGTTGATTTTGCGGTTGAGAGAAGGTTACGTTGGTCTGAAGCCTCGGGTGACAGCTATAAAGAGGCAAGGTGGTGATCAATCAGTATCTTTTCAAGATACAGCATACATTTGCGGTTCTATCGTTGCCTAAAGCTCAATTTTATCAGCAAACCTGTATTATCGCATTTCTGTCAATCAGTTGTGTGTCAAAGTCATCAACACCAAGTGTACGACAGTTCGTGCATCGTCAGCCAACTGAGAACAATGGGGTCGAGCAATCGGCCCTTATCATCTTGGCTGTCACTAGCTACTCTTATTGCTACTCTGGCTGTTGTGAGCCAATGCATCGAGATGCTGGAGATGGATGCGCATGCGTCGTTGACCTTCTGCGAGACTCATGTACTTCCTCGAGGATACAATTGCAAAGAGCATGAGGTTAGTGATCTCAATTACGAATAGAGACTCTGTCGGCTCGACTCATCAGTGTTCTAAAGCAGAGTAGTGACAAATAAACTGCAACCTTCGCTTTTGCTTTGGCATGTTTTAAGAAGACATGGCTTCATTGATATTGTGAAACCAGAAGATACCTGAACATGGTCGGTGTTTGAGTGATTTGTGTACATTGGCAGGTATATTCCGAGGATGGTTACATGCTTCGTCTGCATCGTGTTATACCTCCGGGCAACCTGCACAAGTCTGTGTGGGAATGGCTGGAGCCGGAGCTCCGACATAAGCACAAGGGGCCCTTCCCTGGGTTTAAGAAACCACAGCCAGCTCCTGAGGCTGTACCCTTGTACACAAGTCCTAGCAGCAGGTCAGAAAGTCCACCATCTCCAAGTCCTCCTTCCTCCTCCTCGCCTCCAGGTGAAGGAGCATATGGAGGACCATCCCCGCCGTCGTCCTCCTACTCTCCACCTGGTGGATATGGAGGTCCCAGTCTTCCGTCCTCCTCCTCGCCTCCAAGTGAAGGCGCATACGGAGGATCATATTCGCCCTCGTCCTCCTACTCCCCGCCCGGTGGATATGGAGGTCCCACTCCTTCTGCGTTCTCCCCACCAGGCGCAAGCACATATGGAGGATCGAACTCAGCTCCATCGTCTTACTCTCCCCCGGCAGCCGCTGGTTATGGGGCACCCAGTCCCGCCGGGTCTAGGAACTCACCACCAAGTGCCGGCGCAATAGGAGGAGGATCTCCATCTCCCACGCCCTTCAACCCTCCTCCTGCCTCTGGCGGATATGGAGCAACGAGTCCTCCTGGGACGGAGCCATACGGAGGAGTATCCACGCCGCCGCCTTCATACTCTAATCCCACTCCCTCAGAATCAAACTCTCCACCAGGTGCAGGGAATTACGGAGAAGGATCGTCAGCACCATCCACATCTGCTCTCTCCCCACCACCTGGTGGATCCGGATACGGAGGCTCGCCACCATCGTCAACGAGCTCTTCACCGAATGGGTCAGTAGGATCTACTTCCAGTTCCAGTGCTGAATGTCCACCTGGCTTGTCCTCGCCGAACATTGCAAGGAGGGGACTTACTAGCAGCAATGGCCGAGAGCAACCTCGGACTCGAACCCGAAATGCAGAACTCGTCGACCGGGACCCGGTTCTGCTCATGCACCACGAGCTTCTCAACGGGGGCAGCTGGTTCACGCCCGTGGCCACTGAGAACGACACTCTACTCCCGCTCAGGCTCGTGGACCAAGGCTTCGATGTGTGGATCGATCACGAGCGGGCGACGCTCTGGAGCCACGAGCATCGGAAGCTTACTCCCAACGATGCTGTACGTGCAACACGATCCTCCCGGTTTTTCGTGATTTTCGCTTGGAAATTGACGATTCGAAGCATTTGTGTAGCGTTTTTGCAAGTATTTTCTGGCTCTTGCTAATGACTGACAGGAAGGATACGACCATGCAGGCGTACTGGAACTGGACTTGGGATCAGCGCGTAGAGCAGGACGTTCCGAAGCTGCTGGCATACATCAGCGACGAGACTGGCTCCAGAGTGCATTACGTCGGCGTCTCTCTGGTGCGTGAATGTATTCATTACGTGATTTCCTCCCTCCCTACAGGTAAGATCCACATTCGGGCTTCGAGCTCAAGCTTATTTGCCGTGACTGGATGGATGCTTGGATGGATGTATGCAGAGCGCTGCAGTCGGGGCAGCCGCAGCCACGAACGCGGGCGTCGCCAGTTTCATGAAAACTCTGACTCTGATAGCTCCCGCCTTCTATCGGGGGAAGACTTCTTCAGAGTTCCTGCAAGCCTGGGATCCTATTCTATTTCCCTCGGTGAGGCTTCCGACCGCCTTCTCCATTTCTGTTTCATAACGTCAGACTTTATAGTGCCGACAAGTGGGGATTGCAATCAAGAATCGACAATGACAGCCGCTGTATTGTGATTTCAGGCTTTTGGCACGAGCGACGACGAATGGCACGACCGCAGGCTCGGTGCGTTCAACTTTCCGAGGTGAGTATGGCATCAGCAGGCATGCTTGACTTGACGTGAAATCGACTATCTTCAATCTATCCACATCAGCAGCCATGAAATGAGTTTGGTGAAGTTAGGAAAGATCGGAAGCTAATACTGATCCGTCGTGCCCCAGGGAGTTTCATCTAGATGCCATTCCATTGACCAGCCCCGCTATTCATCTGCGGTTCGCCATCTCGGGTGACGCAACATCCCTTCTTCATTTGGTTTTTCGCAGTGATTTAGATAAATGGGCCTCGTGGGATGATTCGGTTTATCGATACCCTTCTGTCGATTGATATGTTTGTAGAATCGGATTTGAATCTGAACCGGTTTCCTTTGCTTTGTCTGCATGTACATAATAAAGGCCCCGAGTGCTGTCTGGGTCCGAGTGTGCTCTCGCTCGCCAAAAGGTGGGATGGAGTGACGTCGTACAAGAATCTCCAGCACCTCTATCAGGGTAAACTGGATGATCGATCTTCACTAGATTAGAAGGAAGGAAGGCAGGCAGGGCTAGATCGAGATTTCACATGGATTTGATACTTTCGGAGCGAAGTCTAGACTGACTTCTCACATTAGCGCGTGAATTGGTTGCTTGCAGGAATCTCCACGAATACATTTCAGCACTTCGACTACGGGTCCGCAGCCTTCAATGCCCTGGCATACGAGGGCAAAACCGACCCTCCGACTTACGAGCCGAAAGATATGCCCGGCGACCTGCCGATGTTAGTGGTGTACGGAGGGCAGGATTTATACTCGCCTCCCGAAGGTGTGCTCGAATTTATGAGCTTGACACAGACTATGCCCTAGTCAGTGTACCTGCCTCACTACGCACATTTCGACCTATCACTAGCCTGCACCGAGCGGACATTATCAATAGAACTTGCAAATGTAAGCTGTATCTTCGAAAACATACTGATTGATCTAAATCAGTATGTTTTCGAAGATACAGCTTGAACCTTTAGAGCTGTCACCCGAGGCTTCAGAGCAACGTCTCCTTCTGTCAACCGCAAAATCAACTGCTTTTGAAATTTTTCCTTAACCAGAATCGTTAGATATCCTCTCAACCGTTTTCATGAAGTCCAGATCTGGTGCAAGAAGTATACCTTGCCGTTTGACCGCTACTAGCCGTAAACAAATGTCTCTTCATCCTCCATGGCGAGCTTGAGATGGATCGGTCCAAAATAAGCCTGCATTGGAATTACTAATCGTTCTAAAACATGGATAGCATTTCAAATATTTTGAACCAAGGAAAACTTGAAATGGATGTTTGTTCCTTCAGAGTGAATTCAGCTGCTGGAATCTCCTGGATCTAAACTCGGTTTGCGGACCGAGATCCGTGTGTGAATTCAGCCAGAGTATTCATTAGCAGGCACTCCATGTCATGGAGACAAATCCAAGTCAAAGGATAAATAACGCATATTCGAATTACGCAAGTTATGTTACTCACCGTTCTCGCCATGCCGTTGCACAACAGATGTGTCGTGACAATGCTTAAATAATGGATTGACATATTGACTCGAGACATTGCCATGACATTCTTCTGCTCGGCTACAAATTCCCAGCTCGAGCTAACGGATATATACTTGCAATAACGACAAGTTGCAAGCAGTGCCCGTTGCAAGAAATGAGTTTTCCTCGTAACAGTTATTTGTTGCAAATCCGATGTCCCATTTCTCTCTCCACCGGTTTGACTCGGATGGTCACCTTGCAAATGCGAGCACAAACCTGTCAACACGGATCACAATATCTGAATATTTAATTCGATTTGAAACTCGCCAATTTGGAATTGGAGTTTACAACCTAATGGAATTCTGTGCATGAGATTTCTCTGGAACTGAAGTTTGTATTTGTCTGGATCCTTGCAAAGGAGTCATAAGTTAAAGCTGCGCGAAGACTGTAACCTGGGAAGACCGTGTGGACTTCAATGCAAGTTGCTGGCTATATGCTCAACGATATTTAATGAAATGAGCGGATTTGGAAGGGCTCCTCCTCAGTTGTGAGGAGTGTAAGCCAGACCATTTGACCAACCCTGCATCCTCTTTGGTTTGCATCCAGATGTGGATGTTGCAAGTCAAGAGTAACGAATCGAAGCTTGAAGTATTTAGATTCTTGCTATGTAACCAGGTATTCTTTTGATTTTTTATTTCTGCTCTAAATAATATCTATGTTTAAAACTTTTATTACTGATATACAAATAATATCACAGTGTCACTTTTTGATAACTATCTCGAAGTTCATAAACATCTACTCCAGAACAGAGATGATATAAATTCTTGGTAGGAGCTTAATTTATGGGAATTTGAAATGTACATCCATTTTAATGTGAATCTTGAGTTCCCATCATCAAATTTAATAACTTCTATATCTCTATTTTTTCAGTAGATTTAGTATCATACTTTCTATCAGCATTACATTTAATCTCAACTCTTATTTAGAACTAAGATTATAACATAATAGTTCTAGGGGATTCATGGTGCTTCTATCTTGGATGTTCAGTTTGCAGACAGGCAGCTGATTTGCAGCTTTGCGTGGAGAGACGACAAATTCATGTGGTGGGTTCTGTACAAAAATAGTCCTCATCGCTATGATGAGCCACTTTCCAACTGGCTTGTGAATGAGCAGGGTCTTCACTACAAGATCAAGGCTCTTGGTTTCTGCCTCGTTCGAGAATGGGAGAACTGGTAACCAGCGGAAAAACTCTTCAATTGGTGTTCTGCATCCAAAATTTTGGACTTCAGATTTCAAGGCTGCTACTTCTGGTGTAGATGCTCGGCGGGAATAATCTTGAGGTTCGTAGCTAAAGTAGCTTGTGGATCTAACCAGGAAACCTGAATCTTCTCACATTTGTCTTTGAACATTTTTACAAGTTTTCAAGGAGGGACTACTGGCTCGAGTACCGTCTCTTTCGATTCATTTGGACTTCTTTTGTCCTGGCTGGAATTAATTTAAAAAATTCCATTTTTGAATGCCAGAAATAAACTTACATCCATTAACAAGAAGATATGAATGTGTTTACTGCTGTGAAGAAAAATATTTCTCTTGCTGATTCAATTCTGATCATAAATGAAAATTTCCAACCAGAATTGAGTTTTGCCGAAAGTTCTCCGAAAAATTGGACGGACCTTCACAATTCGTCTCTTGTGATACATGTATCAAGCTCCTTAGAATTTCTGGAAGGTGTGCACTCAAAGAGCGTGGTAAACTCAAAGCATCCGCTCTGCTGGACAAAAGTGCATTGCATTCAAATTCGTCAAATGTACAAATGGGGATGATGTGAAGCTGAAAATAGATATACTTTTACATATCAGCCATTGCTAATTGTAAGTGTTAATTTGATGTTCATGGCTGCCAACTCTGAGGCAGTATATCTGAAAACGTAAGTCGTGGCGACAAGCTCAATATCCCGACTTGAATTGCACATCTACAGATGACTTTGCTCTCTTTACTTGACCGTAATCCCATAGCAAAAGCTGCACTGCTCTTCTGCTGAATTACAGGTGTGGTAGACAACAGACTTCCACATCGAACACAAATGTCCGCAGGATGATATTCTGAGCAAGTATGTAGCCGATCATGCAACAAGTACGCTGCACCATGAGCAAGTAACGAATCTCGCTCCATCTCTCCGAAACGAGTACCACCACCAAAATTTTGCCTTTAACAGGCTGTCGTGTCACAGGATTCACAGCACCAGTGGATCTCACCTAAGGACAAAATAACGGGGTGAACAGGGCATTTAGTTATGCATTTGGTACGGAAACGGACAAAACCAAGCATGACACAGAACATAGATCTATCCATTGTAAGATCCCATGATGAACTAAACAACATGACTCAGTTTCGCAAGAAGTCCAGATCTAATATTCCAAATTGCACGAACTTCTTGAGATAAAAGCCATATGATATAAGCCAAGCTTCGCGCACCTGATACTTGTCTCCAACTATATGACGAACTCTTTGATAGTACACACAGCCGATGTAAATTTCACACGTAAGTTCTGTGCCCAAGACACCACTATACATGACTTCTGTGCCATGGTAACTGAAACCGTATTCCTTTCACTGCTTTCCATACTTGTCGATAAGAGACTCATCCTTATTTTTCTGGTTGCTCTTCGACTCGGCAGCGCACTTTGGAAATGGCGTAGCATTTATAAACTTCCCTTTTAAAACGCCTACCTGAGAAAAGTTGAGCCGCTCAGAAACCTGACGTATCCTGTTTCTTCTAAACAACAAGCACCCGCATTGTTCCTCCCATACAAATAATATTCTATCTCCAAAAACGTCAGATGATTGATCATCGAATAGCACTATTACTTCGTTTCAGGAGTTACCTTGGCAGCCATTGATTACATGAGCATCCCAATCGTCATACTGAATGGAAAGGCGTGGGGATTGATAATAAGATCAGGTCGCATTCCAGTAACAGCTGAAAATGGCATGTCAATATGATGTGAGAGCACACCCTTCTGTCCATGCCGACTACTGAACCTGTCTCCAATAACAGGGTTACGACCGTATCGCATCCGAATGCTTACTTGTGAAGGTCCATACCAATTCCAAAGACAAAAAATAAGCACACCAAATTTCTCCAATAATAAAAGGTGGAGAACACAGCTACAATTTACGCATTGATACAATATTCAGATCCGGGCGTATATTTTACCTTCTGCATCGGCTCCTTGGGTCCTGTTCCGACTGCTGCCACAAAGTCCACAACAGCTCTATCTCCACCCTTGAGCTTTGACACTTTTGCGCTACCAGTAATGGTGTTCAATACACTACAGTAAGGATTATTCTCCACCACGGTCTGCATACAGGAAATAAGATTGTACTTCCAAAGTGAAGTCAGCTGCTGGTATCTCCTGCTTCGAATATTGGTAGGCCGACCAGCTCCTTTTCTGGATTCAATCAGAGAATAGCGTCTCTGTCCGTTTACGTTACACAGTCCACCTACGAGCTAGGTACCAATTGTGGATGAGCTTGCTCACAAAAAAACATTCCATTGCAAGTAAAGCCTGGTGTCCCTGACTTGGTCATAGACTGCAGAAGTTATCTCGTTGTTTAGAAAGAAAAGTGCAGGTGATCCTCAAAACGCAATATCAGACACCACACATCAGATTCACATGGTTTCCCAGGAAAGCACATATTTAGTGCTTCAAACCAGGCCTGTTGTGCATTCATTATGTCTTGTCATAATATTTACTGTGTTGGAACTTTATTTTTATCTTGAGAGTTTACTGGCGCTATGACGACCCAGCCTAAGTAAACGACTGCGATCCAGGATTTTGAGCACTGCCGGTGCGAAGTGAATCGTAAACCGATGCAAGGTATGAGCTCGAATATCAACATACACTGGAAACACAGTACGTTCGAACCTAACACAAACTAGCAAAATTCCTCCTGTTTTCTATCCAAGTACTATAGCCAAGAAGTATTGTGCCGAGCACTGAACTATGAGTTTTCGTGACGCCTTACGTTAGAGCAAATGGAAAAGAAGCGCAGTAAACAAAATCAGGCATCAGCAAGAGAGGAAGAGAAAACAAAGATACACGAGCATGACGATAGAGGAGAAAAAACTTCGGTAGATCGTGGTGATTTGACAGCAACTTGGAATATCAGACCAGGTGAGATTGAGTGTGCTAGAAGACTGCAATGTCTGGAATAGGATCATAGGATGTGCGTGTTCAGGGCCATCTGCGTGTCTCGACATGAAGGGAGTCTGTCTCAAGAAAGCTCAAATCTTCTGCACTGAATATGGCCGAAATTTATCTGACAAATGAATCACTAGAACAATTGTACGGGATCAAAACAGACAAAATGGAATGGTATTGGAGCTCATACCTTGCATCACTTTATGATTTACTTCGTATCCGCAAGGCTCAAAATCCTGGATTTCAGTTGTTTACTTCGGCTGGGTCGTCAACTCGCCACTAAACTCTCAAGAAAAAGATAAAATTCCAACACAGAAAATATTCAGACAGTACATAAATACATGCATAACAGGGCCCGATTGAGGCATTCAATATGTGCTTCTTGAGAACCATGCGAATGGGATGTAAGCTGTCTGATCTTACGTTTCTGGTACCACCTGCACTTCTCCTGTTAAACAAGTAGATATTTTCTGCAGTACATGACCAAGTCAGGAACACCAGGTTTCATTTGCCATCGCATGTATTTGTAAGCAAGGTCACCTGCAATGGGGACCGAGCTCGTAGATGGACGCGGCAACGTAAACAGACGAGACGGTTGTGACACAAAGACAGCTTTCCCAGTGAGACACGGTCATCGCTGGAAGTGCCAGAAGGATCTAGAGGAGTTCGTTTCTTTGTTCAACGTCAATGCGATTCGGCTACTTTCTCAGTGTTCTGCTCGTGCTTAACAGTTTCCTGTTTCTGTGATCTTCAGCAGACACCACCAGGAATTATTTCAAAAAAAATATTTGTTATTATGATTTAGTGGAAGTTTCATCAGATGGATATATCATTTACTGGAAAAATTAATTTATGATATGATACTCGTGTTCAGGATGTCACCAGTCAATTGAATATTTAGTATTAATTAAAGAGATCCTCAAAATCTCCTCTACTTTACCTGCTTGAAGAGTTAGAGCTTTGATGAGCATTGAGACTACAATTGTGCTGGATTCCCAGATTCGGGAAAGGGGAAGTGGGAAGAGGTGATGGATATCAGCTTGATGAGGTAGACGTCGATGAGTGTAGCCAATTTTCTCTATCATTCTTCCCGAGAAATTTATTCTCTGGGAAGACGAGGAGTGCATGCCAACGTTTACTCTGACTGAATCCATAGAAGGAGCTCGTCGGCCTACCAAGATTCGAACCAAGAGATTCAAGCAACTGACTTCACTCTGGAAGTACAATCTACTTCATTTTCTTCTCAGTTCAAAACATTTAAATGCAGTCTTTGTATTAGCACGACAAGTATATTCCAATGCAGCTATATATTTGATCAGTTCATCTAAGGCTCGCCGTCGAGAACAAAAAGACACATGTTAACATCTGTTTTACAGCTACTAGCCTCAACGTAACTTTCATGGCCAGATGTGGAGTCCAACTGTCTGATGAATCAGTGTCTTTTCAAAAAGACACATGGTTACATCTGTTTTACAGCTACTAGCCTCAACGTAACTTTCATGGCCAGATGTGGAGTCCAACAGTCTGATGAATCAGTGTCTTTTCAAAGATACAACATTAATTTGGAAATTCTATCTTTCTACAAAGCTCACTTTTATCAGCAAACCAATTTTGTAGCTCTTCTGTTAATCAGTTTCGTGTCGAAACAGCAACATACCGAGTCTTGCATCCATGACAGCGAGGCATGGACCGACATCTCACATCTGCGCCTGAACTGCATGCATGCAGCAATTTCGCCTAGCTTGCAAAGGCAATTACAGTAGGAAAATTACTGTCTTGAGTCCGAGATTAGTTCTCCCCATACACCGCACATTTATTCGATATTTTATGAAAAACTTTAACCTCGTAAGACACGTCGGCGCCTCAGTGATCCATACCCCTTCCAGACGGAACCTCATTTACCAATTTTTTCATATATATGAAGTTAGAAGGTACAAATGTGACTAAATTCCACATTTTCTCTGTCAGTATAGACGATGTGGAGAGTCGAGGTTTATCGTCCGTGACCGATGGACTGGAGCAGCGGAGAGAGAAATACGAGCTCGCCTTGCGCGGCCAAATTTCAGAGAAAAAAATGCATTGACCAGTGCTTATTCGCAGTTCATTTGGATCGAAGTTTTCAAATATGCACGAAATCTTCCGGGCCAGCAATGTTACGAAGATGTTACACAATTTGCCGAAGTCGAGCCGAGTGGATGTAGTGAATTTACCACGCTCTAGGTGCACACCTTCCAGAAATTCGAGGAGCTTGATACATGTATCACAAGAGACGAACAGTGAAGGTCCGTCCAATTTTTCGGAGAACTTTCGGCGAAACTCAATTCTGGTGAGGAAATTTTTCCTTTTAAGACCAGAATTGAATCAGCAAGAGAAATATCTTTCTTCACAGCAGTAAACACATTCATACCATCATCTTAATGGATGTAATTTAATTTCTGCCATTCGAAGATGAAATTTTTTCAATCAATTACTGCTGGGACATAAGAAGTCCAAATGAATCGAAAGAGACGGTACTCGAGCCAGTACTTCTTCCTTGAAATCTTGTAAAAATGTTCAAAGACAAATTTGAGAAGATTCAGATTTCATTGTTAGATCCACAAGCTACTTTAGCTACGAACCTCAAAATTAAAACCGTCGAGCATCTACACCAGAAGTAGCAGCCTTGAATTTTGGATGCAGAACACGAAGTGAAGAGTTTTTCCGCTGGTTACCAGTTCTCCCATTCTCGAACGAGGCAGAAACCAAGAGCCTTGGTCTTGTAGTGAAGACCCTGCTCATTCACAAGCCAGTTGGAAAGTGGCTCATCATAGCGATGAGGACTATTTTTGTACAGAACCCACCACATGAATTTGTCGTCTCTCCACGCAAAGCTGCAAATCAGCTGCCTATCTGCAAACTCATCATCCGGCAGATTCATTTGAAAGCTCGTAGATTCCAAACGCTTCAAGAACACTGCTCTGTACTCGACAGTCGAGCGACCGTACTCATAAACATTGCAATACAGCCTCACTGGGTCACTCTCCATTTTGTTTATCACCCTTGCTGTGATGATATCGGTTGCACCCGGGATCGAATGACTCTCATCCTGCTGATCACGAACTGCGGACGAGTTCTTAGTACGTTCCTCGGGATCGACCTGCACAAGATTCGAAGCACGACCATCCGCGTCAGGAATTCGGCTCGCGATGCTCTCCGAAATGATTCTGCCAATCTTCTGCACCATTGCTCTATCTGCAGGAAGCGGCCCGCGGTCCTGTTCTACGACGGCTAGAAGTCCCAGGAGGGGAAGCAATAAAACTGACAAGCTCATCGTCCTAGCACAAACGTGACTTTGGTTGTGCTTGGATTCAGGGACCGATGGAGATTTTCCAGGAGACAAATAAGTCCAAGGGAAGTGAGCGTTGCAGCATAAGCCCTTCTCCAGAATTTATTTGAGAGTTCAAGTGTTGGCCCAAATTGATAAATGAAATTATCAACGTGTGTTCGAAATGGCGAGGATGACAGTGATTGTTTTGACAAGTGTAACCATTTCCTACCGTCTCAAGTAAGTCTGAGTATGCTGTCATTGACAAGATGTAACTATTTCCTACTGTCTCAAGTAAGTCTCAGTGTGATGTCATTGACAAGACTTAACTATTTTCTACTGTCTCAAGTAAGTCTCAGTGTGATGTCATTGATAAAGACCTCATCACTCTCAGGCTTCAACTGATTTTATACAAGACGAAGGAGGAGAGAGCTAAGACTCCAAATATATCTATTCACATATAAGAGTAGTTAATGAGTAAATCGATGTCGTTTAACTCAAGCGTTTAAGTTTCTATATATATGTGTGATTATTATATAAGGGAAAAATGGATTTGTCCCTTAATTGATGACTACATATGTAAACAACGCACAACAAGCCAAAAAAACCTGAAGACTTTATTTTATGAAAACTGAAAATATTTATTTTTGTTTCTTCATACAAATGAAGACTTTATTTTATGGTCTGTCTGCAACAAGAGTTTGGATCAAGATTCCTAAGAAAAAAAATTAGTGGTAATTCATTTAAAGATCATTTTACTCCATTTGAAAATCTTGCATAATTGTGCAATATCTTCAAAAGCCTTCGGCCACGCTTCACCCCAACCTCCATCAACTTTGAGATCGAATATTAATATAAAATTCTGCTATGACATATGCTTGGCAGAAATATAATTTCTTTCAATGCACATCTGAATTGAAGTTAGATTAGCTTTCTTTTACTGATCTATATTTTTTCCAGTCATGATCAGTCATAAAAAAAAATAGCTAACATTGTTAGTCTTATAAAGCTTTAAGTGTAAAAAATAGAATGCGCTCGTTTTTAGAGAACATTTTCTTGTAAGAACTATTATAAGAGCTTTTAGAATAGGCAGAAAAAAATCTGTCGGATAAAATATTCTCGTGGTAAATTTGCAAATACATTTAAGATAATATATGTTTTAGGAGAAAAAAATAGGACATGTGGCAAAATGTAAATTAGAAAGGTATATGTCTGTAAAATCGTCATGTTTTGTTACTATTCAGTAGTCCACCAATATACTACCTACACTCAATAAGGATCTGAACTTCTATACACGAGTGGAATCAAGGAACCTTTTACGTAATTACAGCTGTAGATTCTATAGTTTCTAGAGTGCAACCTTATTTCAAAAGAAGTGTCTCAACCTTGACTCGAGCAAAGCTTATATATTGTACTTAACCTAAAGTTTACATCGTGTATCCAAAATCAGCGTTCAGGTTAAACAAGCCTAGAAACTTCTTCCTTCTCACTGAACTCAGACTCAAATTAAAACCCAGACTGACTTACACTTCTAGCCTTTGACTGACAAATTGAAAGTTTACGCCCTCGTGTAAAATCACTACGTTCTCAACAGCTGGTGATCTCGATCGGGTCGAGTGAATGCAGGGTGCTACAAGGAAGAAGAGAGTCTCAAGTTCTCCTGTCACAGCTACAATAAGAAAATGCATCTTCTAATTGCCGTTCGTGGCTCTGCAGTGCTTATCACTCACCTCCAATCGTTTTGGCTCCGAGCTCTGAGTTCGAGTAATAAGGAGGAGAAGAAAAGTCGCATATCACTAATCTGAATGAATAAACTTCTTGGGAGCAATGAGTTTTTCTGTCGTACATGCGAGGGAGGAACGTTGAAGGCATGAGTGAGATGATAAAGAGTGAATGATGATGTGAAAATCCGTTTAGATTTTAATTTTTGTGCGAACAATTTGAGCTTCATACTTAGATAATCGTTCCCAGCAAAGCCCTTGAGAGCCTCTATATGTCCCTAGAAACTATCATCTTCGCATAGCTAAGGACGCAAACCGAATGATGACTTCGATAATGGTCCCCTGTTCCCAAACTCTCAATTCTTATTCGATAAGAGGGAATTCCTGAACTTCTGTTGGGCTGCGGAATAAACGAACTGCACGGCTGGGCTGGCATAATTAAAACTGTCTGGATTTCATGGATTCGACAAGTGTTTTCCAAACACTTGCATATATTGACACTGCATATACACTTACACTTCCAGCTCCTCATCATTGGACTTGTGAATGCGTGATCGTGCTCTTGATCGACACAGGGCTGGCGAGGAAGTGTTGGAATGTCCAGACTGGATGTACAGCAGAAGATGGCAAGATCAAATGCTCGTGTTTCAGAATCATCCAGTTGCTCAACCACGTCCAGGAGTTTTCGGCACGGGCGTAGGGCAATACACTGAGCTACCCTCGAACATCATCTTCGATCTCAACTGATTGCGCTTCCACAAGATACATTACTTCGTCACGGGCTCCCACGCACCAATTGATTTTTGGATTAGTTCCTTCTCTTGCACCTTTGACTTGTAAGTAAGCGAGCCGAGCACATCAACCAACGAGTGCATGGGCAACGCCGTCTTCATTCGAAAGGTGAAGTAAAACTCTGGATCCAAGTAAATCTCAATCTCGCAGTAAGGAAGCCTCTCAACTGATGCTTCACGTGATGCAGCCGCTAGAATCTTACCTTTGTGCCCAATACATCTGAAAAAAGTATGCGACGAGCTGTCGGCCGCAAAGTTCCCATATCTCCAAACGTCGGGCTTCACATCGTAGATAAACAGCATGGCCGGACTTCATATCGGCTCACCTTCGATTGAAACTTTCTCTCAGTCGCCACGCAATGACGCCTGTATCTTTTGAAACACTTGCAAGGATCAACAAATCTGTTGGTCTTGCCATGAATGAGGGCAATTTATTACCTACCCGCCAGAAGCGGAATTTGGAGTCGTAGATTTAAGTTCCGACTCCCTTGAGAATCCATAAATACGAAAGTGAAGTACCATGTTTCGAGATTTACATCTATTCCACACAACAATTGTCCTACTTCAGGGAACTTGAGCCGTGGTCGAACGAAGTCGGCAATCTTTGGAACTGTCGTGTCAATGGGTTGGAGACGATGAGTATTGGGAGTTCCTCGTCTCATTATTCATTGGGAGGAGGAACACCCAATGAATGAATCCTCATCTTCTCCACATTTGAGTCGCGCTGCACCCTGTAACGATTGCTGAACAAAAAAATTAAGGCTGAGAATCATCCATTTACGGCGAAACCAGCTTCCCAGGATTGTGGCGAGTCGACAGAAAGAATTCAGAAGAAACGATGAGATCTTCCCACTCTCTGCATATGCAGCGGAACCTCATCAGGCTCTCGAGCGGGAGCTTGCGCAACACATTCAGTAGAATGTCGTCAGGTAACGACCTCCCCACGGAACCTGATCTCGACAACCTCGCCTATTCCTGATGACGATTCCATAGACGCCGACAGAAGGGCCTGAAGACGCGAGAGTGGAGAAGACATCTCTCTTTCCTTCCTCTGACAACCAGTTTTCATCCGTCACCACCCAAAGATTAATTCGGCGAAATCCTCCGAGAAAGCCTCCTTAAGTAGGTTTCCAGCTTCAGACTGTGCGACGGCCGTTTCCGTAACACATGGCCCTCAGAATTGAATGTCCGCTAGGGGCACGAACGTTTGACTCCTCAAATGGACGTGGACACCTAAACCTTCGCTCGCTCGCTCGCTGGGTCGTCTCACGTTCGTCTCACGATCCATAGCCGCGGAACATGAAGCCCAGATTCTGAGATTCGTCTGGGCTCTCGTGTCCACTTGAGCGGGTCCCACTCTGCCCGCTTCAAAAGGGGCTCATGTGGATGCCACTGTGGAGAAATAGGCTTCATCGAACTTGTGATCGGTCGGATCGAACCTCTCGCCAGTTGCATTCCGAGCACCCGTAAGCACGGACCTGCTCGGCATCGCCGACGCTTTGTGAACAGGCATCGCATCCTGTGCACTGGAGATGGGTTTGAATCGATCGTCAAATTTACAACAGTTTGTGCACAGGCGCCAGCATTCACTCCGGTGCCGACTCTTCAGAGCGGGCCGAACCTCCTGTGGCAGCTCTGGCCGGCCTGATCAGATGCCTGGCATCGAGATGAACACAATTATGAGGCATCAGATTATTACTGAAAGTGCCCGGTTTTCGAAGGCGGAAAGATCCGAGCTACTCTTATTTCCACCGACCTCGCATTCCGTCTCATCACGATTCGTAGTCCTTGGTTCGAAAGCAAAAGCGGAGACTCTAGGACTGGTCTAGGGTGTGTGCGGATGAGTGTGTGTGAGTGTGTGTGTGGTGCTACGTGCTTTTGACGCAGGGCTGGATTTCGTACCGACTTTTGGACTGCAGAGAAGAACCGGAAGCTACCGACCTCTCGCTGCAATTTCAGATCGATTCGCGGTGACCATGTGGTTAATTGGGCCCAACCCACAGCCCGTTACAAGCTCTATGTCTCTTTCCATGCACCATGACGGAAGTGCGCATGACCTCGTCGTGCAGGTTCGCAATAGTGGAAACTGCGGCTTAGTGGCCGTCGTATCGGAGGACTACCTTCAGTACTAGGGCTTTTCACCGATGCAGGGTGCAGAAATTCAGAGAAGCGAGCACGATGATTCGAGTTGCGATCGTGGAATTTTGTTGAAGAAGAGTGGTCGGATTGCGCTCGAATTATGAACCATCCGAAGCTGAGCTCCATGAATCTCCAGGAGGCGGTGGCGGATCTGGATCTCCACTCGTTCATCTCGAAGGTGCCTCACATTCCAGTCATAGACGTGAAGAACTGGGACAGGGAGGGATCGCAATGGAGATCCACGTTCTCGGCTCTCTCGACCGGCGACTGGCTCAAGGTGAATCGCCTGCTGAAACAGGCGGAGAGCGACCTTCTCGATGAGCCTCGAGATGGCGAGCTTCAGTGCGCCATTCTTCTCGGATCGTACTTCGGGCACATAGATCTCGTCCGGAGAATCATCACCAGCGTGCGGGATGTCCTGAGGCTGGCAGTGATCGAGACCGCCAAGACGGACGAAGGATTCACAGCCCTGCATTTGGCCTCCATGGGCGTGTTCCCCGACCCACTCCCGGAGGGGCTCGCACCGCAGCACGCCAAAGTGGTGAAACTGCTGCTCGAGAGCAGCAATTGCAACACCGAGCTCTTGACTGCCAAGACTGCGACGGGCGAGTGGACAGCGCTGCATTTGGCCGCCGGGAAGGGGCAGATCGACTCGCTGCGCGCTCTGCTGGCCGGATATCAGAGTGCAGGGCCAGCAGGGATGGGAGGCAGGGAGGAATTGGCGTATGTTCTTCGTGATGCAAACGGCATGACTCCGTTGCATCTGGCTGCGCTGGAGTCGCACGAGGAGGTGGTCAGAGAGTTGCTGCAGTGCGAGATGATGGATGTCAACGCTCTGAACAACCTGGCCCTCACGCCGCTCCACTTGGCCTCGATCAGGGGCATGGCCAAGATCGTGGAGGAGCTGGTCAGGGTCCCCCGAGTGGACGTCAACGCTGTGGACTGCTGTCTCTCCACGGCCCTGCATTGGGCTGCTCACAGTGGAGCCACCGATGTGGTGCGATGCTTCATCGATGCCTCGAAGCACCGGACCGTCCGAATGACGGAGGAGGATCTCGACGGCTCGACGGCCCTGCAAATCACGGCCGAGGATATGGTGAACCAGGAGGACATCCACAAGATGCTTCTGGAGCTGCACGAGGTGAAGGTCCATGTCGATCGGCTGTACAGGGATCGGCAGGTGTTCGTGGACGCTGCCAACGCAATGCTCGTCGGAGCTGCTCTGATCTCCAGCGTCACCTTCGGAGGATGGCTCCAACCTCCCCTGGGCTATGTCCGCTACTCCCAGTTCAGCGCCGACTACGCAGCCGTGGAGCAGCATTTGAGTGTCAGACTGTTCTGGATCTTCAACAGCTTTGCCTTCTACTTGGCCATGGCTACGGTTATTTCTGGAGCCGGGTGCGTTCTCCCGATGAACACCTTTCACATCAAAAGAGCCGTCAGGCGAATCCGCTACATGCTCAATTTCACCTCGTTTCTACTGGGCCTGTCCATTCTGTTCGTGCTTGCGGCCTTCACTGCAGCTGGGTTTGCATGCCTGCCACCGATCCAAGAGCAGCAAGCGAGAATGAGACTAACGACCTTAATCGGTCTCATTGTCTGCGCATGTGTACTAGTTTACATGACCAAAGTGACGAGCTTCAATGTCCGCTTTGACCTCAAAATTGCACAGCAATACTTGACGAAGAAATTAATTTTGTTCAAGGAAAGGATTAGCCATCGCCTGGCCAAGGACGCTCAGTCTCAGGAGCATCAAATTTTTGTCAAAATGGCCGAGCTGGCCAACATCTCCGACCTGGACAAGCGCGAGCAGCAGAAGGATGAGGTAATTGACAGATTGCAATTGTATCTCTACCTTCGAGACCTGCCGACTCTTTGGTACAGGACTAGAGCCGAGAAGGCTGTGGTAGATGCCCTCATGGCCTTCAGGAACGCAGGAGTTCTGGAAGTAGATGGCTCCAGTGGCCAGCTCCGTCGTCGCCTCCATAGCTATAGAGTCCAGGATTTAGACAGCTTGTACTGGTCGTTCAAAGTCGATGAGCACAGGCGCTTCAATGGATATCGAAGGAGGCGAAACCCTCTCATTCTTTACGATCTGAGGGGTAAAACAACTACTACCAAAGGCTCAAACTCTATACGAGACTCTTTCAAAAATCGGTAGATCAGAATCTAAATTTCACCTTATCTTATGTACATATGTAGCTTAAAGCTGAATGGACTTCAACTATGGTTGTAGATAAGCACTCAATCACCTTCAAACAATGTAAAGCCTCACCTCTCAAATACATTGACGAAAGATCCAAATTTGTGCAGTTCTGACAAGGGCTCCAAATAGTCAACATTCTTTCGTCGCCAGAGGTTTTTTCCTGTGTAACCAGAGTGTACTCAGATTTCTCCTTCTGGAAAAACTAACACCAGAATGTCTGATATTACCGCAGTTGATGGCTGTAATATCGGATCCACTACTAACTGCAAGATGAAAATTAGTTACTCACTAAGGATCTGCCAAGTATGACTCCTCGGAATCAATCCTCTCTAGCTAAGGAAAAGGTCTTGTCACAACCTTAACAAAAAGCGCCCTCAGGTCTGGTGCCCATGATTTGACACTGATTCAAATGATAGGGTGAAAAGGGAGGAGCATGGAATGGGGTTGTACTTAGATACTCGGTAGTAAACGATTGTTCAGTATCCAGTTTATAACGATATAGTAGTTGTAACTTCAGGAACAGCTTGACTTTCGCAGCTGACAGGATTCACAGATTCGACTTTGACACTCAATTCAGAGATTTGACTCTCCAGTTATGCCCTGCAGGTAGGCTTCGAATTGCCATGAACATGCAAGCTCGACTTGAGCGTCACTTCACTTCACTTTGTAGCATGCTAGACTTGAACTTGAGGACCTTCAATACGACAGCACCAGCATGTGCTTAATTGTACGCTCCATGACCACAGCGTCTCACGTGACCATACATTATCCCCATCAGGATTTCCGTCTTGGGATGAATTCCGAGCTCAGTGTTCTACATACACACGTTCTTGTGGTTTCCTGCCTGTGTACTAGACTAGGCTCCATAAAGGAGGCTCCTTGTCCTTTATAATCTGATCGAGTTGTGTTTGTTATGAGTCTCAGTTGTCATTGAGAGCGGATCTCCGCCCTATGGACATTGTTCCATGTTCATCTGCTCATCTTCCGTCCACGTCATCATTAAGAGTTTCAAAAAATGCGTCTGCCGGGAGTCGAACCCGGGTCTATTGCTTGGAAGGCAATTATCCTAACCGTTGGACTACAAACGCTAACATGACAAAATTGAGAGCCTAGTATATTAGACTTAGTCTTCTAGGAAGCATCCATAGTTCAAATACGAAGATTAGTTTATGGTAAAGTCCCATTCAAAAAAGAGGAATTTCAAATAAGCTCTTGATGCGAGTGCTTTGAAGAAAACGTGATAGCTTTGGTGTAGAAAAGAAGAGGCCTTTAGAAAAGGTCCGGTGAAAGTACGTGCCTGTAGCAAAAAAAGTATCTCGGGAGTTCTTCGTTGAAGGAGACCTTTGCAGTACTGTACTGTACTGCAGAGGATTAGAATGGAAGAGACAAAGGAAGAGCTTTTATAGTGCAGACAGAGCTTTCGAAGGCGACATGTGGAGTAGAGTAAGACACTACAGCGGAGGAAATCCAAGGAACCTTGTTGTTCAGACATGACTGTCACTGAAAAGGCAAACTGCTCGCTCTGCTTTAAATATACTGCTTCATATTGTACCAGCACAGAGATGATTCGAAGGATCCTACAGAAGATCTGACAAGATACGTAGACGAGCGTGAAAGCGAGCCGGGAGAAAAAAAATAACCAAGAGGAACTAAAAGAGGCATAAAAGTCTGCATGTGACGGATCACCCAGGTTCAAGAAAATGGTGTGCGAAGAGCTAGGACAAATTCATAAGATCCGCTACATGCAAGACAATGAATAGAGTAGTGACGCGTGTGCAAAGATATGGAAGGAGTTGGGTACAAAATTCAAATATAGCTCTTACCTGCCAACAAGCTAGGCATTGCTCAAATATCAAGAGTCAAGTCCATCTGAGTTTGGGGAGCCCACCACCACCACCTACTTATCTTCCTCGTTAATATAAGAGGCAACTACTCATTGAGGAAATCTACTCTGAAAAAGAAAGAAAAATAATTTTATTGTCACGTAATACATCAGAAGCCAAGCTGATATTGGAATTACACTTGATGCAATCCAGTTTCTTCCTGAGATAATTAATCGTGTTACTTCAGTGCACGTGTCTTAGATACTTCCAAGTTTACATTAAGCCTTCCTGCTGTCGTGGGAAGTCGATTGTGCCACCAATGTGGGCGTTTCTTTGGCATGAAACATGGTTGCTTGCTTCCCACGCGTCTTTTGTGCTGTGTTACCAGTCATTTAGTCTTTATTCTGCTGGATAGATTGCTCCTTGTCCAGAGGATGGTGATTAAATGAAATTTAAACCCCGAGGTGTCAACTTTGCTCGTTGGACTTGCTTATGGATTTGGTCACAATGGCTGCAGGTACAATATGAACAGGATAAGATGTCAGGACAGCTCAGCTGACATGATATGAAACGAGAAAAATGCTGTGAACAACGTCAGAATCTGCAAAATAGTGGAAGGATTCTTCTGTGGGATGCTGAACGAGGATTCTAAGAATTCTCTGGAACATGGAACTACAGAGTATACTTCAATATCAAACTCCAGCTCCGCCTGTAGATATCCACAGATTGAATGAATGCACCCAAAAGACAGACCCCGCAGAAGAAAAACCAGTAGGCTCATCAAATGCACTTAAAAACTCGGGAGATTACCGTGTACAGAAAACAAGTCGTGCTCAAGTCGGGCCCTGACAGTTTAAAGGTGGACAATTTACAGGAATTTCAGTTTCGACATGAACTACGAGCAAAAGCCCTGCACCTCAGGTTAGGTACAGTACAGAGTCCTGGTATCGAACATGAAAATGGCTTCGAAGACACAAGTGTACTCGATTCATAGATATCCCTTTGAAGAGGACAAAAGGGGAAAATGTGATAGTGCTGCCGATAAAATCGCGGTCTACTCTCCTGGCCATGCATGATGCGTCGAGATTTGCCATTTGTACGTTGTCAAAATTGCTAGAGGCCTTCAGCTGAGCTAGTCTATAGCAGTCTAGGACGGTGACGATCCTAGTTTTGAAATTGGCCCTCGTGCAAGTGACACTGCTTTCAAAATCGTGAGCCCTGCCGCCCCACAAGGCAGAAGAGAATCAGGCGAACTGAAGGACTGCGGCATGGATCGCATCGGCCAGTTGGGGTACGGTGCGGGTATTGAGACCAGCCATACTAATGCGGCCATCGGAAGTCATGTGGATGTGGTATTCAGTCTTCATATACTCGACTTGCTCCTTGCTAAGGCCCGAGTAAGTGAACATGCCGATCTGGTTCACGATGTGGTCCCAGGTGCCAGGAGTGGCTCTGGCTTTCAGAGCGTCGAAGAGCTGATGGCGCATGCTGATGATTCGGTCAGCCATGCCCTTGAGCTCGACTTTCCATTCCTCGTACAAGGCTTTGTTGCCGAGGATTGTACAGACGATGGCCGCCCCGAAGGTAGGAGGGCTCGAGTACATGGGTCGGATGACGAGGTTCACTTGACTCTCGATGCGAAGCGCCACGTCCGGGTCCTTGACGATGACGCTCAAGGCGCCGACTCGCTCTCCATAGAGGCCCATGTTCTTGGCGTAGCTTTGAGCGACGAGGGTTTCGCCGCCGTCGTTCACGAATTGGCGCACGGCCCATGCATCGGCATCCAAGCTTCCGCTGGCAAAGCCTTGGTAGGCACTGTCGAAGAAGGGCAGCAGCTGCTTCTCGTCGCGGACGAGGTGTTGGATCTCTGCCCACTGCTCTCGAGTGGGATCCACTCCCGTCGGATTGTGCGCGCAAGCATGGAGCAGCACCACGGCTCCGCTGGGCGCTGCTCGCAGGTCTTCCATCATGCCCTCGTAGTCCAAGCCCTTGGTTTTCGGATCGTAGTAGCGGTAGGTCCTCGCCTCCATTCCGGCATTGGGGAAGATCCTGAAGTGGTTCGTCCAGGTCGTCGCAGGGATGTAAATTATCTTCGGCCCACTGTAATGCTTCGCGAGAAATTCACCTCCCACTCTTAGACAGCCAGTCCCTGACAGACATTGAGCCGTGACGATCCTCTTCTCTGCGATGGCCGGGCAGTCCGAGCCGAGGATGAGCTGAGCACTGAGTCTGCTGAAGTGAGTGATCCCCGAGATGGGCAAGTATTCCTTGTTCCTCGATTTATCGGCCAGAAGTTGTTCTTCGGCTTTTCGAACGACATTGAGCACCAGAGGCTTACCCTCCTCGGTCCGATAAGCACCAACGCCGAGATTGACCTTCACGGGACTCGGATCCTTGAGGAAAGCATTTGTCACGCCATAAATTGGGTCCTCAGGAGCTTGCTGCACATGAGCAAATCGCGAACCCGAGCCGCAACCGGCTGTTGCTGCAGGTGCAGGTGCAAGGGAGATCGAAGCCATGGGGCCTTCCATTCTGCGCTCGATTCGAGCTCGGGAGGAAATTGCAAGACGAGCGAAGGCTGGCTGCTGTTATGCGCCCTCCCGAAACTTCTTTCATATACATACGTACACTGGCGCCCATCTCTGACAAGCACTTGTTATGTTAATCATTGTACAGCCCATACCAGAGTTGGTGACTCTGATCGTACTCTGTGCTCGTTCTCTTTTCGCTTTACCAGCACCGCACTCGTGTCCAAAGATTCGATCATTCGATCCCTGTGCAGAGAATTCGTCATGTCTACGAGGGACTGCAGATTGGGAAACGGGGCCGCCATTTCGAGCGCTGCCCGTCTGAATATTTAATTATCCTCCCCGGTAATCATCTTTCGCTGAGCTTCAGAAATAAGTTTGGATCGACATCCTCAGTAGTTTGGCATGTGCTGGCGTTGACTAAGTGAACTCAAGTTCAGGTAATCACGAGAACTTCGAACAGCAACGAGACGATAGTGTCACAGGGTGGCTGACTTTCAGCTTGCTTGGAGTTCTTACCAACACAAGGCTAATGGTCCGAAGAGAGCTCGGATCTTACTTTCGGATTGTAGACTCCATGTAGAGAGGAGTCGGTGATGAGTATGCCCTTCATCACACGCGGTTCCCACGTGCCAACCAGGTCAGGTCAGGGCCAAAACGCCGAGCTGGCTGTGGCGCTCTGTCAGCCTCTGGAACTTGCCACTTGATGAGAACTGTAGGCCATCTCGTACACCTAGGGGTAGAGTAAGTATTCTCCAATAGATTACTGAGTCACTTACATAAGCCTGCTCTATGACGGACTGGTTAGTACCTGTCACGGTTTAGCCCCGTAATAGCAACTTTCTCGGTAACAGGCATTTAGTGGTAGGTTCATTGATGCGGACGTGAGCGCGGAGGGTCGGTTTGACTTTCCAAGTCTTCAATCCTTTGAATTGCCATCGTTTGCTTCCACACGCGAAAGAAATTCTAAGTTAATTGTAGTAAGCCATCTACCTGGCGTGAAGTCCGTCATGACTAGAGCTAATTTCCCGAATATGACAGCTACCTGCGTATTGAATAGTCGACAGACGCGCAAGAGTCGTACAAAAACACCCAACCGAAAGTATGAACTACATCCAAACTAACATCTCCGCTGTACATCGAAGATAACTCAGCCTAATGCACTCAATAGCTTTCACCATTGACTCATTCATCGTACGTGCCATGCATTACAACTGAAGACCGTTGAGAACACTGAAGAAGATATGAGGTCAGGTAATACTTCAATTGCATGGCATGGACAGACAACAGGGCGTCAAAGCATGATCATGACGAGACGTCAAGAATACTCGGAAGAAGTAAAGTTGTCAAAGTTAACGATAGTATTCCTCCTCGGGCCTCAGTTTGCTATTTGCTTCTAAAGCCAATATGGAGAATGAACCTCACAATCTTCCCTAACGTCTTAACAAAAATACTTTTAGGAACCCTCGTCGTCATAGTGCTTTAACAGGTTAACTCTTATTCTCGACATCATCCAACTGGAATGCAAGTCGCATCAAACCCTCCCAAACTTAGCTATATGGGTGGGGGTATCAACACATGGCCTTTCTCGGATCACTACAGAATCAATGTAAAGTGTTTGAGTTTCACCACAAGCATAAACTTCGCCCTCAACACTTCTCCAAGGAACTCCTCGCTCGGAATTGCTTCAAAAAGGACCAACTCACAACCTGGGTCTGAGAACTAGCGCAATACGCACTCGTTCTAGTATACACAGAAATGCCTTAGTCCAGTATGGGCTGGTGTAGCATGGGCTCATTTTCATAACAACCTATTGTCGACATTATCTAACCAACCAAAAGCTTTCCTTCTTCCAGGAAACTGTACTGGGGGACCTCCAGATTGTAAGGTGCAGGACCCTTTCGAATTCGCCCTGAGATATCATAGTGACTACCGTGGCAAGGGCAGAACCAACCACCATAATCGCCGGCATTGGGTAGAGGAACACATCCCAGATGAGTGCAAACTCCAACCACAACGAGCCATTCGGGGTTCTGAACTCGGGCGGAGTCCTCTTGCGGGTCTCTCAATTCAGACATGGTGACGGTGTTGGCCAGCTTAATGTCGCTCTCTGTACGGCGTCGGATGAAAACAGGCTTGCCCCTCCACTTCACAGTGACGGTAGCACCGGGCTCGATGTTCGACAGGTTTACCTCCAAGGAAGCCAAAGCCAACACATCTCTGCTAGCTGACATACTCAGGATGAACTTGAGCAGCAAAAGACGGAGTGCGGAAGCATAGATAAATCGCCCACCAGTGAGCACGAAGTAGGTGAAGGCCCTCTTGCTAGGGTCACCGGGACTGTGCCTTTCGTGGACGGTCTCGTCATAAACGATCTGGTTGGTAGGATTCTTCAAGGCCACCACGGTTGCGGGCAATCCTCCTGTGGAAGAACCTGCACTCAGCGCATCTGAAGCAAAACCTGCAGGTTGAAAGCCCTCCCCCATCAGTAAGGACATGCAAACTATCATAGTTTGCAAACTATCTGATCACAAGGTAAATCAGAAAATCATCAGCACAAACATATGATGTTTCATATGAAGGTAACATACAATTCTACAAATGTCAACCTAAAACTCACAAGAACCCAGAGAACAAACAAGTAGCGATCAATCCGCAGGTAGGTCAATCCTCAAGTCCAATTCATCTTAATCTATACAGAATCTGACTGGAGTGCTAAACACATAGATGATTCCGATCCAAGATCGGCAATCCGTAAAGTTTCTGACAGATCCTAAGTCGTGCACTCACGCCAAACTTGAGCCCCATCAACAGGAAAAGCAGCCGGGATTAACAAGAATTAAATACTAGTTCATCGAATTCCCGGGTCATGTTCAGAACCCTAACAACTTTCCACATCATAAAATTTTCGGTCCATATGTAAGAAAAACAGTAATCGCCTCTAATCTGCGAACTCTAGATTCAACCCTAGCAGTACTCTCCAGCGAACAAATCGAACATGGAGGGCAAAGGACAACACACACTCTCTCTATCTCTCACTCCATCCACGATCAATCCAGCACAAACTGAGTAGAAGGAAAAGGGTAAAAGACCATACCCCGAGAAAAACCGGAGTAGCCGGTGAATCCCGAGCTTCTGGTGAAGCTTGCAAGCATATCATTCTTCTCATCGGCCGCTTCTCTCTCGAGGGAAGGAGCCTGAGGCCAAGAATTTCTTCCAGCCACAGATGCGACGGAGTAAGGTGAGGAAGAAGAGAGGCGGAAGAGCGAAGGCAGCTTTCGCCCCACCCCTCGGATCATCATGATTCCACCACTTTCTGTCCTGGCCTCAGCAAATTCTTCGTCGAAAACCACCACACCACCCTTCCTGCAATCAGCCCAGCAGCAACCCAACAAGCCCCGACGTAGAGCGATGCTCGACACCTCCAAAGAGAACGAAATTGAGGGGGGCGAAGAACTCGCTCAGGGTAGGAGACCTTCTTCGTACAAGAAGGAGGGCCGCAAGACGGAAACGAGCATCGGAAGGCTGGCGACCCGAAAGCTAGAGGAAGAGACAACTCTCGCCACAGTCTTGCCACTCGTCAGCCATTCTAACTATTCTGCAATCGCCACCTCCAGACCGGCGGATGCAGAAGACTTTGCCACCATATGAGTTTCGCCAACTCACTTTCTCTATCTCTACCACGCTAATGCCACCACTTAGTCAATAGCCACCAGTTTTGTCCATTCTGGGGAAGGTTCGTTGCCACCGGGCAGGAACTTCAGTTCTCCGGCGGTTGCCTGTTTCGCAATATTGTGGCAGGTAGTGTGTTAGTCCAAGAATACATTAAACAACCAAAATGTATTGGAAACCCAATAGCAATATCACCAAGGTGTATAACCTAGTATATCTAAACTGCCTCATTTTCAGTATAACGAAGTTATATCTACAACGATTATATTAAAATTTTTATTATAATAATATTTCAATAATATAGAGTTAGTTTTTGAGATCGCTAACTAAAGCTCTTAAAGAAAATTAACAAATCTATGATCATCTCTCGTTTATTTTGAATATTGAAAAAAAAAAAACATTATCATACTTAAAACTTCACACTTAGTGTCACAAACATGTCTAAGGTTTGAAAAATTAGATACTTTTTATTCTTCATGATTATTGTTATTGTGAATGATGATTGACAATCGATTATCATGAATGTATCACGTGTTGAATGTAATAACTAATCTGTCAAAGTATGGAGCTCAAATAATTCACATATCTATTCATGTAGAATTATAATATGTATATATTATAATAATATATATTAATAATGCTAAAATTTAAGTAGATACATGTATCAATTTCAAGATTTAGGTATTATTTCTTTATAAGAAATAAATAACTACTATAAATAATTAATTTTTTCTCATTTCATGTGTAAATATTAAGGATTTTTCAAAAATTTTATCAAAAATATTTAATTATAGAAAATAAGCTTCTATACCTTGATCTTTTAAATAGAAAACAATATTTTTCCTTGAAATATGTATTAATTTTTTTGAATATGATATAAAATTGTATGCAGTTTCAGTATATATACATATATCTGTTTTTTTGTTTAATGCTCTCTTGTTGCTTAATGTAGATATTCATATCCTATATTGAAAAAAAAATTGATAGTAGTTAATTAATTAATATCTAATCATATAATGATTTTAAAAATTTTCGATTATAAAATTACGAAAAATATTAAATTTTAATTTCATTCATATAAAAAATTTTGAATTGACAGAAAAATCAAAAATATTAGAATATGATCAGTATGATGAAAACTCATGTATAATATATAAAACTAAAAAATAGAATCATATAATTAAACCAGTAAGAAAAATATGTATGAGATTAAAGCTATGTTTTGATAATAACTATTAGATTTACACTTAAATAAATTATTATAAATATATCAAATCAATTAAAACAATTATCGCAAAGTGCATGTACATGCCTAAGAAAGTTATTCAATCAAAATCTCACCACATAAATGTTGATCATTATTGGAAAAAACATTTCACATATGTGAAATTTCATAAGAGTTGTAATGTACATCAAGTATTTTCTTCAAATATCAAATTTTTTTTATCTAAATGATATAGATTTGGTGTTTATAAATTATTAAGTATTTCAAAATATTTAACACATTGAATATGAAAATAGATTTGGATGAAATGAAAACAAGTTATATCTAATATATTCAAATTTGCTAACTCAAATAATCTATGATTTTATATAAAAATTCATCAAAATTGACTACTTCAAATACTTTGCATCAAAATAAATTTCATTGACAAATAATGACCATCTAATATATGATAACCAAAAAACCATATTGATATAATGTTCATTTGAGCAATAACTTATAAAAACATATTGAACTTGATATTCACATGATACGTGACAATCACCTTGCGTATGAACCTACACAGATCATGCTTGGCCAAGCAAATGGAATAGATAAGGATAGAGTTTAGGTTTTATATTCTTATAAGCACATTGAAGTTGATATTCATAGCCCAACATAATATCTAAACTAATGTAATAGCAAAAAAAAGTTATAATTTAGATAATTTTATACTTTGTGGTTTTAGTTGTTTTTGTATTATTTTAATCTCATTTAGATAAACATTGAAGCTATTCATATGAAGATATGAAATTATAAATTATATGTAAAATCTAATTCCAATTATGAATAATAAATTACTATTAAATGAATAAAATTAGATAAAAATATTGTGAATTTGAATCAAACTATTGAATCATATAATCAAATGAGTATATTATAATGCTTATATGAGTAATAAAAACATTGTTCATATTCAAAGACAAAAATTTAAAAACTAATTGTTTTAATATCACATTATTTTATTTGAAACTCATGAATTATTTATGCTCATTAATTTTAATTGAATTTAAATATCAAACCCATTTCCAATCAATCGTCAAAAAATTCCTTTGAAAATTAAGATCAAAATGTATTTAATTTTATATTTAACAATTTTTTTTAAAAATAAATCATGCAAAATCATCTTTATGTAATATTTATTCTCAATTTATCAACAAAAAATTAGACTATTTCATTGAATTTCATTTATTTTAAACTAAATTGAAGTCTTGAACTTGTATGATATATGTAAATATTCAAATTTAACATAAAAATTTGACAAACATATGTATTCATAAAAAAATAGTGAAATCAATAAATTTCGTCTATTTATGTGTGAGTTGTTAGCAAGTAGTGGCTTGGGTTAGATTTTTCCAGGATCGCCCATGTGGTTCGGGGGTAATTTACCGCCGTGGAGTCTAGCGGGTTTGACTCACGGTAGGGGAGTAAACCGACCCGAACTCTTGTAACCTCGTCCATGGAAGTTTCCCAGGCCCCGTGCCCCGCCCGGTGTGGCCACAAATAAGCTCCACTCTCATAGTCACCCGTGAAGCCTCTCCACGGATGACTATGAGAGTATGGAGCGCCTAGTTGACAATTATTCATTATTGTATAATGAGCTAAAGATGAACAACTGTAACACTAGGGTTTATAAAGAAGCTCACTCGAAGATAAAAACGTAAACTCTGAAGATGAGAGATCCCAACAAGTACAAGGAGATAAGACGAATCTCCACTATCCATCCCACTCATAGTGGATGGATGATGTGGCGGATAACCTTAACAAGCACACGGATCGTTGACGTGGCGCACCCAACTAACACACAAGGCATTCCAAGGATGATATCATATCGATCTAAACGAATTACTCTCCATTCAATGCTCTCCTTGTATCTACCTATGGATAATTCTACACTCTATGGTAGTGTTTCTATCACTTAAGTTTGCCCGTTTGGCAATTCAACTTCTTCACTCACGTCCTCATCAACATCAAACCTAATTTCATAGCAACACTCCTTGATAGAAAATTCTCAATTGCTCCAGGATCAATTAAAACTTTCACCTTGTGTCCTTCCATGAAACCATTAGTGACAATGAGTTGAACTTGCTTCTTACTCTTTCCATGAGCTCCCAACCATTGACTTCTTCCAACCTCACCTTTTCTTCCCTTTGTAGAACCAGTAAGGCCGCGAGGCAAGATTACTGGTGATCTTTGTTTCCCGAAGCTGCTTCCTCCACCTCTTCATACTCTATCCCCTCCATATTGTTGAACGGTCGTCGCTGCATGAGCCGTCCTCCTTGTTGTGTCGGCCGAACTCGACAAAACTTGGCTATGTGACCCATTCGTCCACATGCATAGCATTGACGATTGTCACGAACTCCAACTCCTCCTTGAACCATTCTGTTATTTGCATAACCTTCTTGCAAATTTGGAACTCTTGGTCGTCGAATCTCACCTCCAAATCTTGGTGCTGGTACTCTTGTTGGTGCCAAACCTTCTATACGTCGAAGGTTTCCCAACTCTATCGGTGTTGGACCAGATGGATCTCGAAAATTGCTCACTGGTTCACCGTGTGTGACACCTAAAGCACCCGAAATTCGTTGAGCAATTGAGATTGCTTCATTCACAGTAGATGGATTGCTTACCATCAACTACTTTCGAATTCGATCCTTCAAGCCTCGTTTGAACACATCCAAGGCTTCAGCTCCACCCATATCCATGATAGATACTTGAAGATCACAAAATTCTTCAATGTACTCATGAATACTTCCTTTCTGCTTCAGATCTCATAACTTCATTCTTGCAGTTTGCAAAAGTCCTTCATGCATTCCACTCCACGAAATGGTAGCACCTCGTTCTGAAAGCATTCTCTCCCATGTTGTGTACCATGTGAGAGCCTTATCCGTAAGATAAGATCTCATGAACATTCTTGCAATATAATCGGAAACATGCAAATGGGATAAATGAATATTCATCCTCATAATCCATCCCTCTAACACTCCCATTGCTCTACTCCATTTGTAAGCTTCCACCTTACAGGATTTTTCCATTCGAAGCAAAAGATTTGATTGATATTCAATCTCTTGAAGATCAATTAGCCTCTGCTGCATCAATAGGAGTTGGTTCTGGCTGAACTTGGGAAGCTTGAACTTGAGGTTCAACTTCCATCTCTCCAACTCTCTTTCTCTACTTTTTCACTCTCTAATGCGAAGATTTTATCTTCCATGGCTTGCTGCTTGGTATGCCCATCTACTATCGCTTTTCTCAACTCCTTCATCTTCGCCATGATTGCATTGAGAACCTCACCCATATCAATTGATGTCCCCATGTTTTCTCACACTCACTCTAATACAAAGTGAGTATAATCACAATGTGACCTCTCAAAAAAGTAGTCACAAAAGGTGCAGGTGAATCTATCACAGCTCTATAGTACTCCTCTCCATAATTCCTCATAAGAAAATCTCGCCATATACTCTTCTGTCTATATACTATTCTAATCTCTACATAAGTGTTGAATCGGACCGGGACAGGTTGTTCGCAATTCAAATCCATACAACATTCAGTATAGAATGTATATAGTACAATCTCAAGTCTCTCCATAAATAACTATTGGAAGAATAAGTGGCACTCTTGGTTCCATCACTCTAGTCATAAAATCTGCACCCCAACAAGCCACAAGGTACATCCCAAAATGATGTTTCTCCATGCAACGAAGGTGAATATCGAATAGATTATGAATTGGCCAATGCGGTACTGGATTATTGTCAATCCCGTTCATATCTGCAAAATCACAATTTCCCCCTTCCACCTCTCTCTACATGCAGATGAATGACCTCTGCCAGCCTCTATTCACTCTCAAGACTACACTCCATCATCACTCACTTGCTATTCCATGAGGGGTAATTTGCTAAGTAAAGATAGAAACGTAAACTCTAAAGATGAGATATCCCAACAAGTAAAATGAGATAAGATCTAATCCCCACCATCCATCCCACTCCTAGTGGATGGATGACGTGGCGGATAACCCTAACAAGCACACGGATCGCTGACGTGGCGCATCCAACTAACACACTCAATCCTTACCTACAAGCACACGGATTGCTGACGTGGCACTGTCAACTAACACATCCACTGTGTACCTACCAAGTGCGCGGATCGCTGACGTGGCAGCTATGATTAGTGCACACTAAAGTATCTACATCAATATTTAGAGTAACCTCTACTTTAGTTCTAACTAACTAAAGATGGTTACAGCAACAAAAGAATCATCAGAAAATAATCATCAACAACTTCTTGCGATAACAGCAGTTTAAATAAAACCTCCGGACTCAGATTACAATCAGAAAAATGAGAACACTACTTTGCCATAAGTCTGTGAATATTGTCATTGTTTTGTTCGGAATAGTGTTTGATGTCATCAGTCATCGCAAACCGTTGGAACAAGTTGGCCCTCCAACCTAGAAGAAGAAGAGCCGAACTGCAACCTCCAGGCTAACTCTCACTTAGGTTTACCTCTGATGGCTTTGCGATAGCGCATCATGGTTCTAGAAGACTAGGATTCATCCTCACACTCAAGTCCCAAACAACTTCTCTCACAAACTCTCCATGTATCACTCCAACTCACACACAACTCTCCTCACATCACTCTCGTTACATAAACGCAAACACACGTCGATACTCCAAGATACTCAAAAACTTCACTCTTTCATTCATGAAACAAGTCCTCACACATGACTCTCCAAACTTGCTTGAGAGGTGATACTCTACCCCTCTATTTATACTACTTGAGAAGTTACCATAGTAACATGTGGTAATTTCTCCTAACTTACTTTTACCTAGGTAAGTTTGACTAACACTCTCTATGTGGCAACATGCCATTGGCCCAGCTAAAACTTCTAGAAGTTTTCCGAATCCAAGATTGAGGTGGCGACATGCCATTGGAAACTTTTAAACTTCTACAAGCTTCTTAGCCACTAAGTCAACACTAGACTTAGTATAGCCAATCATCTTTCATACATTTTAATCTAACCAATCAAATCCAAGTCAAATATCTAATCCCTTGAAATCTCAAACTTTCGTATAAGACAAAATAGAAGTGTTCACCTCTCGTAAAAGACAAAATAGAAGTGCTCACTCCATTCTTCTAGAACTCTGCTAATCATTCCGCCATCTATAGACATTGTAGCTAAACTTAGTTATGACTATATAAATTTAGTTATAACTAACTAGTTTAGTCATAACTAACTAGACTTAGCTATCCCTTGGCTAATTATACTTAATCACTTGACCACTTCTTAGACTTAGTACATATGTGCAACACCCGGTCTTACATGACACATTAGCAGTTGTCATACTAGTGACATCAAAGAATCATATGCTAACAATTTATGTGATGATGAAAGAACGAGACTTACCTTGGCTGTGGCATCTCAAGCAGCCATGATGAGAATATCTGCACTTGAGTTTGCAGTTGAGATTTAGACAGAGAATCGTAGTCCTGATCTAAAGCCCGACTCAGAGCAAACGTTCTCAAACAGCACTTCGTCCGGTGAAGGATCAACATTTCAATTTCTTGTGATTCCCAAACTCGCACACGAGCACAAATAAGAGCACAATGACGAATGATCCTTGAGTCCAGCTATATAGAACGAACACATGCATAACTGAAAGAGTTGAAAATACCACTTACTTCGGAATCATCGAGGACCATCATCGTATTTGAATGCGATTTGGTTCAAAAACGATTGGAAGTCAAAGTCTGGCTATTTATCTAAAATTTTGAAGAGAAACGCCTCTCCAAGGGTGGAACAGTCCATGGTTACATACAAAATAGCATCGAACATATCTGGATCAAAGTCATTTGGATTTTAATCAACGTCAATAGAGTTTTTGAGCAAATTTTACGCTAAAGTTTATTATGAAAGTATTTACCTTTGCTTACTGTTTGCACCATCAAAAACGATTAGCAATTAACTCATGATTTTATTTAATTTTGACTAGGCTAAATTTGGTTACTTTAACAACTAACTTTGTAATATATGAGAATGATTAACTAACTTCCAAGTAACATTAGGTAGCTTTTTTTATAGTTACAACCTTAATATTTTGAGATGAATCTAAATTTTTTAAATTTTTCTTCTTTTTTTGTAATTACATTTTTTGAATACATTCAAATATACTTCTATTTTCAAGTTTTTGTTACACCAAAATTCAAAATTTTAAAAAAATTCTAAAAAACTTCTAAAATTTTGGAAATTTTAGAAAAATATTTTATATTCTATCATCTATAAATATATCTAAAATTTATTGAAAATATCTATAAAATAAAATTGAATAAAATTTGGAATAATTTTTTATGAGAATAAATTTTTGTACATTAAATATAATATGATAAATTTGATTTATTTTATAATATCAATTAATATATCAGAAAAAATCATATTTTTTATAAAAATGTATGATTTTACTTCATAAAAGTATAAAAAAAATGAAATAATAACATAAATGATTGTGTAGATTAAAAAACATTGAATAAAATAATGAAAAAATCTCTTTTCAATAACTAAATTTCTTAGAAAATTATTACAAGAATTACAATAAAAATTTTGATGTAATTTTTCAAATTTTTTTCGAAAATGCTATTATTTTTAAAATTTATCTTTGTATATAAATACTTATTTGATAATGAAATAACCGAGATTTCAATAATCTATTTAAAATCATGTTGTATATACATCTTTGAGGTTTAAAAATATTGTAATGTAGTCATTAATTTAAAATCATGAAAGTTTTATTTCTCTTGTATTTTCAAAATTATTTCAATTATTAAAATGTATCTTATATATGAGATTTAAAAATTTAACATCATTGCTTTAGCTTGTATCAATATTTCAATTCATAATGTACTCTATTTGTTTCCAACATTGCTTAAATTCATAGCTTACATTTGTCTATTTTTTATATTTAATTTTTTGAATATGAGGTAGAAAAAATTTGGTCTCAATTTTTAGTAAGATTTAAATGAAAAATTACTATAAGTATAATCCAACTATTTTGCTTCAAGTGAATAATTTTTTTAGTCTTTGTAGTACTTCAACAATAAAAATATATCATATCATATGATACATAATCATATGATCAGCTATGATATAAAAACATTGCTTAATTTTAATTTTTAATTTTTTTTTCGTTTAGACTCTCTGACAATTTCTTTAATTTTTTTTTCAAAAAATATTGTATCTAATTTCAATTTCAACTATAAATGTTACGTCATCAATTTTTAAATGTTATCAAAAGAAAAGAAAAGAAAATATCAACTATTATATTAGTTGATATGAAATTAGTCTGAGGAAAAATGAAAAAAAAATTCATCCGAATGGAATAAAACTTTTCATATGATAATTATTAATATTGTCAAGAAATTTTGAATAAACATTATAAAAATATTCTATTTTATATCTAATAATTTCTTAAAATCTAAATTTTTCATGGATCTTGACTTTAATAAAAAAAATTATGGAAAAAAATTTTCTTGTACAATTTCTGAACATATTGCTAGCTATTAACTATTTTTTGAATCATAAATGGATTATCAAAATCAGAATCAAAAAATAAAGTAAAAATTAATGATTAAATTTACAATTAAATTACTGGGAATTTATTAGAATAAAATTATTGTAATTTTATCGGAAAAAATTATAAATAATTTATTCAAATAATTTTCAAATAATTATGAAGAATTTTTTAATTTATATAATATATAAGGTATTAATTATTTTCAGCTTATAAACTGATGTTAGAATATTTATAAATAAAAAATATCAAAGATAAATTCATTGAAAAAACTTACCCTACAATTGAAAAAAGTTTCAAGTAATTGATTGAACTTTCAGTTCCATTAATCAGTAGATTATTATCCAGTAAAGTTTTTTGGTTTCAATTTTTTAAAATTATTATACCATGAAATTTATCTCATACATTTAACAAATTTTTAAGCAGTTTGAAACTGAAAATTATAATATTAAATGTTGGAAACGTAATACTGTTTTAGATTTCGTTATTTAGGACGTATAGACAGCGAGTAATCCAATGGACAGGTTAGGCCCCTGCTGTGACGCCCGTTGGGTGCATTTGATTAGAGATCGAATCCGTTTACTGTTAGTTTACTAAAGATCGTCTGGTAAAACCGCATACGAAAATTCCTTCAGGAATAATCTTTTAGATTTGTTAATAATATCTAAAGGCGGAATGAAGATGTGCAATTCACTGGAGTGGACGTGTGTGCTCAGCTGCTAGATATGAGTGCATGAGATCATTGTGCTTCAAAAAGTGCCGTGTTTCATGAGTTGCCTATCAGCTGTAGGAGACGAAATGCTTGTCGCGTGATTCATTTCAGCCCCGAATTGAATTGACGGACTGGCTTTCTAGACGATCACTGGTCCTGTTAATTGATAGATAGATGGAGTGACCGAGCTTGCTTATGTAAGCTCGTGAAACAACAAATACAAGCTGAAGGTCTCTGTTGATGAAGCTGCAGGAAATCTGGAGCTCGCGGATTTGAGTCTCCAGTGATTGTTGCCTTCTACAAATGTTTCTGCGCCCTTCGATGAAGTGATTCAGCTGCGTTTTGTTACTGACTGATCAAGCAGTCAGATTCTCAGCTTCTTCAGGTGGGACATCGCTCTGCTCATATAATTCACCAGTCCTTGTACTTGAACTTGAAGAATCTTCGTGGGTATGGCCAGATGGTGCTCCTAGCTTTTCCAGTCCTGATCATGCATCCTCTTTTCTTTCACAATTCCGTATTTCCTGCTTCATTGTGCCCATTAGACTGCCGTCAGCTGTGCGGCAGGACGGAAGTTTTTAAGTTTTGGAGTAAGACCAATATTTCTCGCTGCATAATCAGTCGCACTTATCTGTCACCTGTCCTTGTCATCTCATGTCGAGTGATTTCCAGCTATGGCTAGAAAAGTCACACAAGTTTCTGGTCTGGAAATTTGCGACGGCATGTAAGCTCAGCTTAGTGAGTCGTTGTCGATTCAGGCGTGGGTAGAGGTCGTGAATCGCCTTATGAGTTTGCTGCTTAATTTGCCATGAAGGTCGCCATTGCTTGAAATTTGGTAGGTGTTTGTTTCGGGATTGAGTTGCATGTGAAAATCAGCCATAGCCAGAGGTTTGTACTTCTAAATTAATTGTTGTCGTTTGTGTGGTCTCAGAAGCCAGCTGAATTGTTCCTGTAATCTAGGCGCATGCTGTGCAAGTGAATGTACGCTTGTAGCAGGATGGCAGGCTTAATAGCTGGTCCAGGCTGCTGCTCTGTGTCGTGGATGGCAACCAGTCAGGGGTCGTTTTCGAATTGGAGAAGGAATAAATCCGTTTTTCGAAGCCACCGTGTTCGTATCAATGCACCTCGAGTTACGCTGGGGTATCATTCGCCATTCGGTCTCACACTTGTACTAGAAATTACTCCTGAATTCTTCATTGACGTTCCTTTCCTTCTCTGTGGTCCAGTCACATAGCTGTTGTTCATGAACGCACTGCGCTAGGCATGAGGTAGTCAAGTGGACCAGCTGGTCTGTCAGTGGAATCGATTCCTGACGCCTTCTAATGTGATTGCAGAGACAAAAGCGACCTGGAAGGCCTGCAGGTTTCTGACTACAACTCACTTTTAGTGCAGCTTAGTTTGCTTGCAAACGTTGTTGATTGTTTTAAATATATTCTTGTCTTTCTAATGAGTAGGTGATGAGATCGAGTTGTATTAGTTGAATCCTCCAGCATTTCGTCCAACAAACTGCTTACTTCATGCTTCCTATGTACCACTTGTTATATGTACAGGAGGCATTCCCTATGAAAGAGAAGTGGTCAGGATCCAGTGCCAGTGATGTAATCAAGTTGTTCAACGACACTCAACAAAGTGAGTTCATATCCTGTTCTATCGTCTATTTTTAATGGGTTGAAGATATTGATGTTTTCATTTCGCAGATGTTTGCTACGGGCAGTTTACCTATCTCACGATACAACAAGGGTCTCTTTGAGCTTTCATTCAATTACTACTAGTCCGACCTCTCGTTGAATGCGCGGTCATTGTATGGTAGATGTGATAAGTTCCTGCATTTATAAGGTATCCTTAATTAAGTGCTGTTGATGCAGATATGCTCTATCTTAATAAGCAGAGGTTGAATGCTATTGAGGAGGTCCAGAAAACAAGGAGAGACAATGATTTCTTAATAGCAAGGGTAGCCCAGCTAGAAGCCGAGTATCAGGCCAGTGCCGGAGAATGTGAAGTTTTGAATAAAAAGCTCAAAGCTTTGGGGGTCGGTCTGCCAGGAGAAGACTCAGAAGGTACACGACGTTTTCAGTGGATCTCAAAGTTTTGCAACAGGGACTAGTTGAAAGTAATACAGAGATTCAAAGATTACAGAAATTTACACAAGTTTTATTAGCGGTTGAATTTGAAGGTCTGGGTACATCCATACTTGTTGGTACTCTGAACCAATTATGTCCAGGAAATGTTGTTGATTGCTCATATTCTGGTGGCAGCGGTACCAGTAGTTGAGGTCAAAAAACAACCCAATCCTTTTTCGGTATGGGGAGAGCTTCTCTTGCGCGTGGACTCAATGGCAATGACTGGGCAAATAACATTAAGTCAAGCAACTGGACTGCGAAATCTGGTTAGAAAAAGGGATGCACAAGCAGCTGATGTATATTTGAGTATGTGTGAGAAGGATGATCGCGAGCTATCCTCAAAGCTACTCCATCTTCTTGACCCGAATAAAAGGTGGAATGCACAATCTTCAACGTCTGCTCTTGGAAACAAATCTTAAAGTAACAGTTTTAGCACTTACATAGTCGATTTGAGGAGAGTTTCAATAGGTCTCTTCTTGCAAGTCTCAGTTGGATTATGATTCGTTGTTTTACAAGAATGTCAACGTCCTGAACGATTTATCACTTTTTAGAACTTTGGATCGTATGTTTGGCAGGCGTGGAATACATGTGATCCACATCTGTACAGAAATGGCTCCTATAGCCCAGGCAGGATCTCTGGCCACGTACATTACAAGCTTGTGCAGCGCACTGAGGAAAAAAGGTCATTTGGTGGAGGTAATATTGCCAAAGTATGTACGTTCACATGTCTTCTCCCTACTTGTACAGCACCTTCGTGCTTCATTTGTCTCTTACTTTTAACCCTTAACAATGTTTTCAACCTAGTGCATATTGCCAAAACCAGTTTATGCATTGCTTAGAAATGGATGAACCATGCATCAAGACTTTGCTATAAGCTGAAGACTTCATGAAGCCATCTGTTTCACATCAGTAATTGCCTGAGAAAATTCAACAGCCATGCTGCAGTGGAGATATGATGATCTGTCATGAGGTTTTCTTCCTATGCATAGTGCTTCGAATTAATCATGAAACGGGTGAATTTTTTTATTTTCCATGTCTTCAACTCATATGTCTCACGTAGTCAGATGTTTAGATGCACTCGGTAGTTTGATTTTGATCGAAGGAGCAGGAAGAACACCTTAAATGAGGCAGTGACTCTCTTTGGCTTTTAAATAAGAGCTGGATACAGGCTAATCACGCAGAGCATTCGTATTTCCGGTGTTGTGCAGATATGCGTCAGCTGATTTAAGCTGTTTGAGCAACGTGAAAGAGATAAACTCGGACTTGTATTCCTACTTTGGTGGAGAGTGGCATAAGAATAAGATCTGGACTGGGTAAATGTTCAGGTTTCCTGCAAAACATCCTCATAGGATTATAGCCACAATGATCTTGTGCCAATTGTTGCTCATTGTGCAGTTTTGCTTCATGTGCGCAGAGTCTTTAATGGAGTTGCTGTAACACTAATTGAGCCAAAGCATCCAAGCGGGTTCTTCGAAAGGGAGTTTCTCTACGATTACGACGATGATTTTGAGAGGTAAATAGGTCTTGTCAGCGAAAGCACTCTAATGAAATTGATACCGAACAAGGACTGCGAGCTGATCATCTGGTTCAAACCTTGCAAGGATTGCGCACTCAATTATCATCAAATTGAATAGTTGCGTCATGGATCATGTGAACACAATTTGCATCTTACCGTGTCACTCAGTTTGATTCACTAAGTTTCTTTACTGTATAAGGTACGAATATTCATCTCAACCATCCCAATAACGCAAATTGTGTATGTGGTTAGGTTTACGTACTTTTGTCGAGCGGCGTTAGAGCACCTACTTAAGTTGGGAAAACAGCCCAATATCCTACATATACACAACTGGCAGACTGCTGCCATTGCACCACTTTTCTGGGACCTGTATGCTAAGCAGGTAAACAACCAATGATCGCCTATCAAGCTTAATTGTCTTCATCCCATGTTTCTTGCCACTCCTTGGCATGTGGACCATGACCAGGGTGGGTCACATTTGACCTTGCCACAATCTATTCAAATTGCTTTGATGTAAATTCTAGCACCGCTCTGCCGAGGTCTTCGGAATTCTAATACTAGTCAGTACAGTTTATAGAAACTCCTGTTCAAAGCTCCTCATTCTATGATATTCTGCTGTTTCCTCAGGGGCTCCAAAATACACGGATTATGTTCACTTGCCATGACTTCAAGTACCAGGTACTGATGATTGATCTCAAACATGGTCATTGTGTCAGCCCAGTTAGTTATGGTGCTGTGTAACTTTCACCTGTAGCGGTTTTGGTTTGCGATCTAGGTTTGCCCATGCTCACATTATGGCATGTGTCTCTGCCGTTGAGACGGTTGCAAACAGTGGGACATAATTTTAGCAAGTGACATGTTGTAACCGAATGACGTTGTGATCTGGCTTTTTGTCGTGTCATCAGTGCCTGCAAGATCCCACCAAGCTCAGCCTCTGCGGTCTCAACCCTCAGGATCTACATCGTCCCGATCGACTGCAGGATAATTTTGAAATGGGCCTAGTTAACCTATTAAAGGTCAGGAAAGTATTCATTACAAGACCTTCTCATACAGTTTGCAATTTGAGCTGCAGCTGCATGAGAGTCATGTACTGACGTACATTGCTGTGATCCAGGGTGGGATCATATACTCTAATAAAGTTACCACAGTATCTCCCCTATATGCACATGATGTGTTATCGAAGGATCATGGACACGGAATTGATACAACTCTAACAAGCCAGAAGTGAGTGCTCCTCACGATGATTTTGTGTGCTTGTCTCTTTCACCTCTGGTCGACACGCGCTGGTCTCCGAGCTCGTCTAACTTGTCGGTTTGGGTGCAGGTACAAGTTTATTGGCATCCTCAATGGGATCGAAGGGTTCACGTGGAATCCAAGTACCGATCGGTTGATATATTCAAGATATTCTCGTCGAGATCTTTCAGGCAAGCTGGCTTGCAAGGAGGAGTTGCGTAGACAACTGCAGTTCCCGGACTTGGATGGCTCCACGCCACTTGTAAGTGCTAGCTAGCGTCTTGCTCGAGTGTGCAGTGACGCAGGTGAAGCAAAATTCGAATTTGGAGCAGTCTGATGACGCACTGTACGTGCCCTGACGTGTGCTCGTATCGCCACTAACGCATGCTTCTATCACCCGATTCAGGTTGGATGCATAGTTCCTCATGTAGCCGAACATGACTTGGAGCTTTTGAGGGCAGCTTTGGACTGTGCTGTGAATAAAGGAGCGCAGGCGAGTCTGATTCTTAAATTCAGAAAAGACTGTGCAATGATCGAACTTTCTAGTTTCTGCATTCAAAATTTCGTGTTCCACTTTCCTGAATCATGTCTGTATCCAGCAACTCCTGCCGACGCAGATTAGTTTACCTTGTCTCAGCTGTAAGATGTACGTATGCGCATTCTGCTGATCGTAGTCGGGCAGCGCTACCTACCATGGGATGGGATGAGATCACCTGTGAAGAAACGTGCATCACTCGCATCGAAGGAGAATCTGATGCAAGAGTTTGTTGCTATTTGCAGTTTGTGTTCGTAGGCGCAAGCAAAATCCCCCGAATTCAAGTCGTTCTGGAAGACCTTCAGCGAGAGGTATGAACGAATGAACGCTGGATACAACTCAGAAATATTGATCGTCTTTTGTCATCTGTGCAGGCGAGCATCGATTGGTTCAGTGAGGACATTGCTCGCGTTGTACCGAGAATTGAGTGTTGGTTGGATTGTGTAGAGCAAAAATGGCCACTTCGCTGTGAACTACAACGAGACCTTGGCACATCAAATCATGGCGGCTTCGGACATCCTGGTCTGCCCGTGTGTGTCTGAACCGTCCGGTCAATGGCCGGTATGTACACGCCTCTCGTGTGATGGCTTTCCTCAGTTTCCTCCGTGTTTCCATTTCCTCTTTTAATCGAAGAGTGACGGAAGAATCTCGTGTATCTTGATGATGGCAGCTGATCGCTATGCATTACGGCACCGTTCCCGTCTCGAGAGAAATCTATGGCGTCCGTGGAAGGTATTGTCATGTCGAGCATTTACTGTAAAGAATTATGGATTCTCCTCATTCGAACTTTCAAATAAATTCGTGCACCTGTGAAAGATCTGATGTCGTGTTTCATGCACTTATTACTCTGCCAGTGTGCTGGATTCGGACGACTCCTCGCTGGGAAACCCGGCAGAAGCCACAGGATACACCTTCTGCTCGAGACAAGGATCAGACTTGGCAAAGTCGTTAAGTAGAGCCATTGACCGAATGGTAGGTTATCTTCCACTCACTAGCAGCAGAAGAGAAGAAAAGCTGTCGAAATAGACATGTTAGGTTTCGGCTTCCACCAAATTCTGCACAACGATGCGAGATCAGTCGCATGTACAGATGAGAAGTGTGTAGCACGTGGTGTCGTCTGACCAGTCTGTTTTGTGCCGTGCCTTGCAGAAGAACGATCCCGAAGGATGGCACCAGCTTGTCCAAAATGGAATGGCGACTGATTATTCTTGGGACGGCAAGTGTGTAGAATCCTATGAGGCTGCATATTGGTCCATCTGTGGCTCATAGTCGAAGAGAAGCCGGTGTATAGTAGTGATTTTGCCCAAATTCAAACAAACAGTAGAGCTGTACAAATATCTTGCCTCACCACCGCCTTCATGGTTCTGTACTTGTTACAACGTGGTCGTGTCAAGCTTCAACGTGAAGATTTTGTGAGGCAACGTGATCTCCTTCTCGGCGGTTTCTTGCTCAAGTGGAATGAAACCTCGATCTTATCAGATGGTGTAAAATCTGAACCACGCGACCGTAAGATGTGGAAGCGACTGTGTAATGCGAAATGTATCGGCTTCATGCATATGCCCACACCTTCCTCGCGGGCTGTAAACTACCACACAGAAGCACACAGCAGGACGCATGAATTGGAAACTCTTGAACGATGGGCGCAAACCCCTGAGACCGACTCTGTTTCTTCGCAGCTTGCAAGTGTGACGGACAGCGAGCCACTTCGGCAGCTGGCATCTTCTGAGAGATCATACGGCTGATTGAATCATCGCACCAACTAAAGAGCAACCATCTTGATATCGAGATTTAATTGATCAAAGCCAGACTCTGATGGATGCAGCCTACCGATATCGATCTGCACAGAGAATTTTTGCCAGCAGAGTTCAAAGATCTACAACAGGGTCCCTAGAGAATGAGGAGAGAGAATCGGGTCCAAAGTCAATGGGAAATTGATCCGGTTTCAAGAGACAGACAGAGTAAGCGATTCCCTATAGACAGAAAATTGCTGTCCAGCGCACAACCAGCGAACTCATTCTGTTTTAGATGGCACCATGGAGCCATAGGGGGGATGAGCAAAAGTCAGAATCATATCAATAAGGACAGTCGTCATATGCCCTTGAACGAAGGCCGTACCTTCACACCCACCTTCACCGGTGGGCCATGTATCTCGAGAGGACTACGAGTTGTATACATGCAAACTATGAGGGCAGGTCTTCATGGGAATGTGTGGTAGATGTAACCGGCCTGCCTGCGCTAGAACGTCCCTCGTAAATGTAGTGACAACGACACGGCGTCCCTACACTGCGCAGACCCCAGTGCTGGCTACAGAAGAAATGTCAAGTCAGATACGCAGTACTGGGAATGTCCTTGAGTATTATAATTTCTGATATTCAAGGAACTGCTCTCAAAACGGATTCAGTTTATGGAGCCTTTTCAGATTCATGGTTGGAAAATAGTGTTCACCTGAGGTAAAGGCCATCGTTGATAATGGCTTTGTTCAGAAATGTGCCCAAGTGCTTGGAGATCGCCCGTCGTGGGAAGATTCGTTTGCTATCAGCTCCTCACGATGGCTCATTATAGAATGCAGTCAATTGTCTTGACTCCTGAAAACCGTAGAACATCTCGCACTTTTGAGGCGTTGTGCGTTTACCGGTATCTGCAGTGTTCTCCATCCTATGCACTCACGCCTCGACACACTTCCCCATCGGGATGCTACTGGGATGATTATTCCTTGAGATTCTATTCCCTTATTTCCCGTTTAGTCCCATTCGCGTACTGGTTGATGAGTATTATCTCATTCTCATGCAATATTAATTGGTGCTGCGTTAGGGTTATGTCGACGCGTTTTTCGGTCACCACTAGAGGTTCCCGAGCAGCCCAACAAGAGCACACTGGAAACATTACACGAGCTTCGAAAACCACGAGAAAGATGACTTCACTTGCGTCGGATGACACCGCATCACCGGCTGACCCAATTAATCACAACTAACAATGAACTCATGATCTCCGGCAATCCATAATTAGTCCGTCCTCTTAATCTCAAAAGTCGATGGCAATCTCCTGAAACCTTGTCAGGAAACGTCTCGACGACTGTGATTGTACGCTCGAGCTAGCAGTTAGGGGGCCCCGGCTTACCGCACGGCAGTAGAGTAACAACTCCGCCCCTTGCCAAAATGGAACCGCGAGGTGTGAAGCTTTGTGCGGTGTGGTGGAATCCGTCAAAGATTAGGAAGCGCAGCGTTTATAGTGCGAGGTCGATTGTTCTGGAGGAGGAGGAGGAGGAGGAAGCCCGGTTGGTAGAGTCGTGACACATCTTCCAACCCCGGGACCGAACCCTATCCACCTGTTGCTGGGTTGGGTTTTATGGACAGCCACTAACAAATCCAGGTCCCCAACACGACCAATAAGAAGGCAAGAAACCAATCTGAGCCCAGCTGTGGGCTGGGTGACGGGCGAGGAATAGAAACTATGGGTGCTATTCGCGACAGCACCCGGTGCACACAAGGTCAAGTGGAGGACCAAACACCTCGATAAACGACGGCATTCCAAAAGTGTGCGAGAATTGCGAGCCGGAGTGGGAGAGCGAGCGAGCGAGAGGTAAGGTGGGGCGGGGCGGGGCAGGGCGGTCAAGGATTCGCAGCGCGCGCGCGAGAGAGAGAGAGAGAGAGCGAAGGCGAGGGAGAGATCCGGTGGCAGTGGGACCATGAACATGAGCACCATAATCAAAACGAACTAAATTGAGAGCAGTCAAACGCAAATCGAAGTCGTCAAGGACAGGAACCCGCGCCGCCAGCCACCGACCAGTCGTCGTGAGCCTACACAAACTCGTAACATTTTTGTACCGACTACACGCGGGACGATGCGGTGCGAGGCAACTAACAAACCCGCTATGCAACAATACCCCAGCGTTTGATCCTTACTCATGCACACATTGCAGTCAAAGCTCAGGCAAGCCAGGATCTGCAGGACGAGGCACCATTACTGCCCGTCGTGCCGCTGCTACCTTCTTCCTGTCTTGATTCCCTTCCAGGTCCCGTCTTTGATTCCTCTCGACAAAAACAAAGTCTGTACGTCCTCCGATCTCCCTTCTCCCTTCTCTCCACGGCCTCCATCTCTCGGACCATGATCGCCTCCAGGCGCGACGCTCTGCGACCGGACCCGTCGCCACGGCCTCCCGGCACCCTCGAATGCCCAGAGAATCGAACCGAAATCTTGACGCCGGAGCATATTATTAGCCCTTTCCTAAATTTCATAACCAGGCAAACTGGCAATATATCCGCACGCAATGCAATGGTTTGGCTTAAACTAAACCGAATGGCATGGATTATTAGTTTCTCCGCTTCAGTCACCGCAGTATTTTATTCGGGACCGTCCTAACCGACCGATTAACAGAGTTAATGGGTCGAAATCATCACCTGCTGCACCAAAAAAACAAAAAATCATGGGATGTGATTATTTAATAATTTCGGGGTTCCTTCGGCAGCACATTCGGATTCCAAACCAGGAGTCGACCGCACGGGTCACGGTGACATTAGGCGGCAGAGGGGCAGCGTCCATCACTGTAACCTTTTCATCCAGTACAACAAAAGGTAGCAAGGACGTACGCTATGGCAAGAGCGGCCGCTGAATATCGCCGTATTTTATTGTAAGAATAGTATAAAATGCTGGCGTGCAGGAGGGAAGGGACATCAGGACTGCTTAGTCGGGGTTAAAGGTCCAAGTTGGAGGCGGGCGAGGGCGAGGACAAGCGCGGAGCTCGGCTGTTTTAGGGAAAGGGAGTTCATGGGCAAACACGTGCAAATGTCGACGTGAAATGACAAGGGAATAAGTCCCTCGAGGAAGAAGTATGGGAGGTTACACGTTCCGAACACCTAAACGAAGCTACTTCATGATTGCAACCGGGCTTCCGCGGGGCAAGGGGAATGAGAGAATATTTGCTTACCACTGCTGGTTTCATGTTGGGTCACGAGCATATTCATCCATGCAATGCAAAGTCTGTGCTCTAGGACTTCCTACATCCGCCCCGGTCTTGGAAAAAAACACTGCGCCTTCACGTCACCATTCCGAGGGCAACTTTTGCTCGAGATCCATTTCTTGGGATTTCCTACATCTACCCAAGCGCAGCACCATATCAGGCGTGTCACGTCAGCTTACGTTGCGAGAAAACAAGTATACACCAGCTCAAAAGGCCCTACGGCCAGCGAGACAATCTACCGGTCCGTTAGTGCTGCAAGCGAGAGCGGGCAGTGTCAAGAGTGAGGGAGAGGGACTCTTCCCACTCCCTCCCTCGCTCCCCACATGTGAAGTACGTTGCGCCCATGACCGCCAAGTGCAGCCCATCACCATCAGCGTGCGCTGCTTCCTGTACGCTGTTTGCCTCTTGTGCTACCATGGTCAAGCCTCCCACCCAGCCGACGCGTTTGACTCGGTTACGGAGTAGGAGTACTTCGCACGACACAGTTGGGACGATCACATTGCGCAAAGCAAAAGAACCGACTGCCGTCGAGCATGACTTTCGCTTTAGGCTTGAGCGAGTTTGGCTAAAGTTCAATCGTGAGGTATTCAGAAATTTCCTGGCCTCGAGACACCGCAGCGCCGAAGCGTTCTGGACGGTCGTATACTTTTAATCATGGGACGCATATCGGATTTACAGCGTCACCGCAAAGAAGAACGGAAAGTTGAAGAGTGTAAAACAATGGGGTGGACTTGTACTCAAGTCAAGATTCGGAGCTCCTTCACCTCTATACCGACTTCGGAGGTGGACCTTCCGTTTCAGTCTCATTTGGGAGTAAGTAAGGGTAGAATGCCTCTAGAGGTCCCTTGAGAGCACAAGCAGACAGATGTGACCCGGAGCCTTTTAGAATCCGTTAGAAAATTGCGATACCCACATGAACATGCAAATTCTTCGCCTTTTCTTCCAGAAACTCGGAGTGAATATTCCGAATGTCTTTAAGTTCGCGTTTACTGCTTTCTCTTTGGGGTGTAAAGACAGCCTTCTTTCGGAGGTGGTTTGAATGCTTGTTCGACGAACCCTTCATTCTCTTTTTGAGCCTAACGGAGTTCCTGGAGTCCTTTTATTCGGGCCTACCCCCATCTTACCGCACTTTTGTTTCATCCATGTATTCCTTGATAGGGTCTTCCCATCCTTTCGCTATATACGATCTGGTTTCTTCTCAGATATGAAGCGAGTGTATATGCTCTTGGAAATTTGAATTTTATGGGCATCCCGAGGACAATCCGAGATTCAGTGAGCCACTCAGCTGCACATTCGAAGTCTCATAATGATAGCGAAACCTTGCGGGCCCATTAAAGACTCATATAACTTCAGAAACAAAGCGGTGGGTGTTATGTTGTTCAATCATGGAATCTGAGCGAAGACTCGGCTTTTATAGTTTCGTATGTTTTATCATCTGCATGCGACATTTTTCTTTTCCATTTCACGATCTTAATCGAAGTGAATTCTGGATACGAAATATCGAGACTTAATATTTCGCCATGTCAGCGAGCGGTAGATTCGAGATTCGAAAACCAAGCAAATGAAGAAATTTTAAAGTGTACAAAGCATTGCAACGAGACATAAGGTGCAGTGGAAATCATTGAAAGGTGCACTGACAAAATTCCTCCAATATCTCTGCAGTTGCAAGAGAAAAGATCGAATGCCTCTACATAGAGGCGGTGGAAACGCATTTTGTGAAGAAAATATCTGAGTGTGTAAGTACCCATTGTAGGGATACCCACCAAGCTCTTCCAAGAGTGAAATCTAAACATGTACCTATATGTTCATGAATACTACTATATTAATCCAATAAATCAAATATTAATAATGTGAAAGGTTAGTTATATCTCAGTGTGGACTAATTATCCCTCACCTAGCCTATTGAGCATTACTTCTCCCTTTCCACTGTTCCGCGAAGACTATATCACTTAGCTCTAATAAACATAGTATAGTTCTGACCAATCATATAACTCTGTTCTGTATAATATAATAGGGTGAGTGATAGTTAGCCCAAACTCAATGATCACTAGACACTACGGTAATCATCTCATTTTGTATTTATAGATACTATATTTGCATCAAACCCTGGCTGCAAAATTTGTGTTATTTAGTCAGAGATTAATACAGCGAGATTAATTTTTAAAATCAAATCACTTGAACCTTTGCTCTCATTTTGTCTGAATTATTGTACATGAAAACAACTAGTCATCGAGTGGTTAGAGAGATGATAAAATTAACAAATTATAACATTTAAAAATTGGACAATAAACCTAAATACTCTAAAAAATTCCATCTTTACTTTGATCTTTATTGTTTTAACTCAGTGGTACACAAATGTAGAATATTAAATTTTAAAGAAATTTGTAGAGAATAAGTTTGATATATAAGTACGATCATAACATATGTATTATTTTAATTCTAATAAATCAAAGAGCTGCTACATAACAAGAATGTGTCTTCTCTCGATTTATGATAACGTTAAAGCAATTCAAGATATGTATATATTTAAGTTTATTTTTATTTTTGTAAGTCAAAAAATCTATAATATTTGAATCTATATCAAAATATTTTTCATCACATGCTTAATAATATACTGACACCTCAGAATCATTTTACTCCTAATATGATATCTAACTTGAAATGAAGTACTCTGTAACAGCGTCTAAAAAGATTCGGAATATAAGAACTTTATTTCTCATAACATATTCAAAGTTACGAATTGTCATTATTCTATAATCTATTGACTTTTGAGTAGTATTTATTTGGAGTTAAGTGTAGATTACCTCTTGCTACTTAACGTAAAGTGTGTTCAAATGCAATGACTCAATCATATGCAAATGACATTTCATTGCCATTGTGTTTGATTTCATTAAAAATTGGATCTTCATCATGGCAATTTTAAATTAGAATGAAATGCAAAATGATCGTCAATACTGTTTCATTTAAAACATACAAAAAACGATTTATCAATATTTCTTGTTAAGTAACTTTGATCCATCTAGATATGGAATCGAACAAATTATATTTAGTTTGAAATTAATGAAACTAAAAAGTTTATCAACTTTTAAAATTTAGAGCATGGTTTTCTTCAAGTGATTTTTTGTAATTCTTGATGGATATATTTATTTAAGAATAAAGTATAAAAAATAATCATGTTTTATGCACAAAAAAATTACAAAAAATATTTTATTTAGATAGTACATCACTTTACGAGATTGAAAAGAAATTTACTTGATTGGATCAGAATATAAAAAATATCTCATGAATTTATTTCTGAAAACCTAAATCAAAGGATTTAATTTGTTTAAGTTTACAATTTTTCTGAAAATTTTATTACATGATTTAAAGTTTTTTTCTGATATAGTTCAAAACATATATTTAATTTCAAATTTGAAAATTTTAAAATTATTTAAGTTGTTATTTTCTTAATGAAAAACATCTGTCATAAAAGATTGATTTTCTTCAGCATGTTTTTCATTAATTTTTTTTTTGAATAAAATTTGCTAGTATTTTTCAGTGATAGATCATAAAACTTTCTTGAAGCACAACAATTTTCAAGATATATAAAAAAAAATGAACATATAAAATCTATCACCTATAGATTGAAAAACATTAAGAATAAATTAGTTTATAGTATTAACATAGTATGTTTAAAATAATTTTTTTTGCAATTTTTTACTACTGCATATCTGTGAACAGGATATTCAAGTTAATGATCAAAAGAGAGCAATTTTTTTGAATATGTTTTTTTAACATTGATATGTTCTGTGATTTGATCTTAGTTTTCACGAATTTCTCTCATCACAAGTCATATGATTTCGATTGATTTAGATGAATGTACTAATGTTGTAGAAATATTAATCAACTTAGAGTTTTTGATTCAGTTAGAAGAAAAAATTTCCAATAATACGGAGAAGTTATGTGATATTATATTTCTTTTACTTATGTTGTAATTGTTTGAGTTCATTTGAGTAATCTTATCAGAATATCTCATTAATTTCTTGAATTTGGATATATTGGTCAGAATTGGATTATTCGCATCTCATGATATCTAAATTCTTTCTCCTCAGATGATTTTTAATAACTAAATTCTCAGTTTTTCGGTTCCTGGAATTGGTTCTTGATTCTAACTTTAAAGCATTATTTTTAGTATATCTTCTCCGGTTTCAGATTACTTGGTCTTTCGACTTACATGTTTGGGTGTTTCTCTGTAAATATTGGGTGTTATTGAGTTTATTTTGTAAAATATGAATTTTTTTTCTCATATTCACTATGCAAATTCTGTATAAAGGCAAAACCTAATGTCCTCATATGTGCTTTTTGGTTTTCTTCAAAGTTTACTGATCAAATTGTGAAATAAGACCAGGAAGTTTAATTTTGATTGACGTGGAATAGACATGTGAATAAAGTGTATTTTTCAGTTTCTACATTAAATGAGATTAGTTGTGGAGTCTGTTGTACTTCGCGATGTTCGAAGTTAGTTAGTAGGTAGATGTTCGCCTACATTCGTAGGTTTCGACGTACTTAACTGAAGATATCTGAATATCGGAAGTTCCTTCTGGGACATCCCATAAAATTGGAACGCCCTACGCGATGATGACACGCACAAATCGAGAAATGTTGAAACTTGTAGATTTTTCTGAAAAAAAAAAGAGTAAAGAAGGTCCGAGGAGGTATTTTCTGCGGAATGCACGAGTATATTTCAAGAAAAAACTGGTGCCCAAGAGTGGCGGATTGTAGATTTTTCTGAAAAAAGAAAGGTAAAGAAAAGTCCGAGGAGGTATTTTCTGCCGAATGCACGAGTATATTTCAAGAAGAAACTGGTGCCCAAGAGTGGCGGATTTTAGCGTGGCACAGTTATCAACGCTACCGATCCAAAATTAAAGTAATACCAGTCACATACCGGCTGAACAAATGCCCTAGCGGCGGCTATATGTGGAAGGGGCGAAATAACGCTCACTCGTTTGGGCATTGGAACCCACCAGATGCCGTTCTCGTTATACGGTATCAGCGGTCCTTATAACGCGGAGCGATGGATCGGTCATAAGAGAGACAACGAGGCGCTCTATTTAAGTCCTGCGATACGATAAAGGCCAGTAGCGAGGACATATTCTCGCGTCGTCGCACTTTATCGCAGCGTGGGGCGTGGGTCCCATGGGAAGAAGGCAGCCAATGGGCGAAACCCACCCCGCGCTGGGGTCGTGCGACCCGAGAAGCACCGTCGTGAGATCGAAGGCGCAGGCGCGAAACTGGCGATCGCCCGTCGCACGGACCCGTGAAGCACACGCCCCGCGTAGGCGAAATCTGTCAGGCATTATCTTCGTTATCTCAAGAAATGGGCGTCCCGGTGGCAGGCGCCACTCGAACGGTAAACTGTCCTGGATCTTTCGCGGCGGCAAATGAGAGGCGAGGAGCGAGCGGGGCCCAGAGGTGTCAGAGGCCGCGACGTCAGGCCGGAGGGCAAGCCGCGGGGCACGAACCTGGGAGTCGCGGACCGGCGAGGTCGGGCGCCGGACGGATGAGAATAATAATGGGCGATCTTCCAAGGCACCTGGAGAGACGACGAGGTGGGGGAGGGGGAAATGCGAAAAATAAAGGCACTAAATGGGGATTTGACTTGCTTGCGCTGAACTTCCGGCGCCAAACACCGCAGATCAATCACTGCCGCGCTGCCTGCCTGCGTCCGGTGGGTGCGCGGGGCTTCGGGCTCTACACCGCTGGTGGGCGGTCTGTCGTTTTGTCGAGGGCCTGTGCCGTGGGTCGCTCGGGAGCTCGTTGCTCGTCCTCCTGCTATTGTGCTCGCGGGGCGTCCCGCCTTTTCAGCGGGGCAGGCCCTTTTGGTGCTGGTCCGCTCTCCTGGCCTCACTCACTTCCCCTGCTTAGGGTTTGCGTTACCAGCGTCCCTCCTCCTCCTCTGCGTGCGTGCGTGCGTGCCTGCCTGCGACAGCGTGTTGCGTTAGTGGCGATAGAGTTTAGGTTTTCGCATCTGTTGTCTCGTGAGTATTGTCCTTTTGCTATGCTTGCCAGAGTAGAGTTCATTGCTTTCGGCTCGGTCTCGAGTGGAGGGTGAGAGAGAGAGAGAGACTCAGGGAGGGAGAGAGAGAGAGAGAGAGAGATTGAGAGGCACCGGGAGGGAGAGGCCACCTTTGGGAAGAGGAAAGAGGGAAAGAGGGAGAGAGCGAGAGAGAGTGCGGGGAGAAAGAAAGGGAGCTCGCCGAGAGGAGGGCATGGTTTTTGCACCGTGCATTTGTATCGCGCTAGCGAGTGAAGGTCGAACTAGGTCTCCCGTGGACGAGGCAGTAGGGGCTCCGGGGCGGTCTCTGCGGACGACGGGAAGCTGATTGCACCATTGAGATTTGAGTCGAGGGAGGGAGGGAGGTTTGAAGGAAGGAAGGAAGGAAGGAAGGAAGGAAGGAGTCGTGAGGGCTGTGGTCTGTGTGGCCTGGTCGAGATTAGGAACAGACGACTCTGAAACATTGTCATCCGCGAGCAGGACAAGCATGGCGCGCGTCTAGTTTTTCATCGGGGATTTTTGGGTTGCTTCCAGGATTTGGAGCGTAGGGTTTGCTCGGGGAGAGGAAGAACAGGGGAAGAGTAAGTATCGCCTGCCTCGAAAGTGCTGACAGCCCGCGGACGTTCGGGAGAGGACCCGGAAGAGGTTTCGCCTCTGAGGGAGAAGAACGTGTGTTTGCTTGCTAAGCGCAACGCCACCGCGGGTCGAAAGACGAGGCGGTACGAAGAGAGAATGCCATCAGCGTGGTCAGAGTCTCCGCCAGACTTGGCGGCTGAGCATGGATCTGCAAACAACTCAGCTGCTGGCTCGGCTACTCGACCCACAAGGTCGTCGTACGTTCCTCCACACTTGAGGAACCGACCGCAAGGAGCATCGCCATCGCCCCCTGCAGATTTGGGTCCCCATAGTCCCGGCGCTGGACCGAAACCTACACCTGGTGCTGGCGTTTTGGGTGCCACTGGGGGATCTCAAGCACCTAGACAGCCGAGTGCCTGGGGCGCAAGAGAGATTCCTGGTGCAAGCGGCGTGGGTTTAGCAGCAGGTGGGGCTGCCCCGGGGCGGGCTAACAATCGTGGAGGGGCTTGGCAGGCGGGAGGCGGTGCGAGTGCTGGACCAGGGCATACTCAAGGATGGAGTAATGGAGCCGGCGGAGGATGGGGTCAAGGCGGTGGCCGAAGTGGTTGGAGCGGAAGAGATAGGGAGGTGAATCCCTTCGCAAACGATGAGGCCGCCGAAGCAATTTTCGACCAAGAGAACACGGGTATCAATTTCGAAGCGTACGAGGATATTCCTGTTGAGACGAGCGGGGAGAATGTGCCACCCCCTGTCAACACTTTTGCAGAGATAGATTTGGGCCCTGCATTGAATGAGAACATCAGAAGATGCAAGTACGTGAGGCCCACGCCCGTGCAAAGGCATGCGATCCCAATCTCTCTTGGAGGAAGAGATTTGATGGCCTGCGCCCAGACAGGTTCTGGAAAGACTGCAGCTTTTTGTTTTCCCATTATCGCTGGGATCATGAGGAGTACCCCTCCTGGGCGCCCACGTGGAGGCCGCAAGGCACTCCCTTTGGCTTTAATTCTCTCCCCAACTCGGGAGCTCTCCTGTCAGGCAAGTCTGCTGTCCTTGTCCTCCTTGGCCCACTGATCTTTCTTCACATGGACCTATGTCCAAGTATCTGGTCAATAAGCTTATCGATTTACTATCTCAGATTTTTAAAGGGTCTAGAAACTGAGGGCCTCTAAACCTATCCATATTTAGGATCACCGTGCCGAGTTTTGAGCTACCAGTATTGATGTTTCGTCTTCGTCGGGATCTAACATTTGAGACCTCGTAAACTCTACCTAGCACACAAAATTTCAGACCCTCAGTACCTAACTCTAGGCTTGAAAAAGACCTTGTGAGGGAATTGTTTTCTTCGTATTTCGGAACGTCCTTCTTACATCTTGGATTTTGTTAATGAGATACTTGAATCTGAGAGATCTTGTCATGATGTTCTCTATCGCCAGTATTATGTTTTCTCGTCTCTACTGGCGAACAAAGGATATCAATCTACTGAATCTCTCGCGGCCAGGTTTACTGCAAAATTAAGTGTTTTCTTAGACGCGTTTTGAGCTCAATGCCCTATTGTACTGCATGCTGATTTCATTACGTTTCATGTGTTGCAGATTCATGACGAGGCCAAGAAGTTCTCCTACCAGACAGGTATTCGAGTTGTTGTTGCTTACGGTGGAGCTCCGGTGCAAAATCAGGTTAGGGACTTGAATCCTTTACGCCTTTACTTGTACCGTTTGCCCCACCCATTAAACCTTGAGGGATGTTCATGTTGCATGATGCGATGCCTTCAGCCCCTGCAGTTCCTTCCGTTAGGGTTTTGTCGTATCAATCCTTCGTAGATTCGTGCCTCGACGCGCAGTATTCAACGAAGATCTGTGATTTGTTATCACTTACAGTTTGCATCTTTCCTCTGTCCCAGCTGTATACACAGAGGGTTTTTGTCCACTTGTTAGAAAGCTTCCAATGGCACGCAGAATGTCCTGTTTCTCATCATTTTTGTATAGTGAAGTTAGAGACTGACACTATCGTTCGAAATGGCAGCTTCGGGAGATGGAGAAGGGAGTTGATATTCTTGTAGCCACTCCCGGTCGACTGGGAGATCTTTTAGAGAGGGCGAGAGTCTCTCTTTCGATGGTGAAGTATCTCGCTTTGGACGAGGCCGATCGTATGTTGGACATGGGTTTCGAACCCCAAATCCGAAGGATTGTTGAGCAGATGGACATGCCTACTGCTGGTCAAAGACAGACTATGCTTTTTAGCGCCACCTTCCCACGGGAAATTCAGGTATTGCACTCTGAGCATGCGAGTCAGATTGTGCCCAGGCTGAGGCCGAATGCTTGCAGAATTTCTCTGATTGGGAATATGTGTTTAGTTAGAACCACGAGGCGTCTACTACATTGAAGCGCTGTACATCCAGTTGTTTACTAGTACCCGGGAACGGCAGTGTGGGGCTTAGGAATTTGTCCTAAACATCGCTAATAACTTGCCTTAGCTTTAGTGTCCTTCTCGCAATGTTTGACGAAGCTTTACTTTGGTGATCTCGATTCATGTAGTGGTCAAGGTATGGATTTGTGCTTGTTCTGATACTAAAGTTTCTGCTCATCGGTACCTGCAGAGGCTCGCCGCGGATTTTCTGTCAAACTACATATTTTTGGCAGTCGGAAGGGTAGGTTCCAGCACAGATTTGATTGTGCAAAGAGTTGAGTTCGTCGCTGATTACGAGAAGAGGAGCATGCTCATGGACCTGATTCATGCACAAGCCGCGAATCAGACAACTGGGCAGGTGATGCACCATTCCATGCGACATTTTACAGTCAATCAAACTGGGATCTCTTGCCTCATTACGTATTTCCATGTTATGCACCTAGTTGTGATCTCCTTTTTCGATTTCACTGTGTTGGGAAGCTCAAAGATGTCTGAATCATGTTTGCAGGCGGCTTTGACTCTGGTCTTTGTTGAGACCAAGAGAGGCGCTGACGCTCTGGAAGATTGGCTATGTCGCATGGGTTTCCCTGCAACAACTATTCATGGAGATAGATCTCAAACTGTAAGTACAGCTGACTTCAAATTCACTCCCGCATTATTGCCACCTGAGTAGTTCATGATGGCTTCGCGTCAATGTGATTCTTACACAAATTATGGTGTGTCCCCAGGAACGTGAACAAGCCTTAAGATCTTTTCGAACAGGGCAGACCCCTATCCTTGTAGCAACGGATGTTGCTGCTCGTGGTCTGGATATCCCTCATGTGGCGCATGTTGTGAACTTTGATCTACCTAACGACATTGACGATTACGTCCATCGTATAGGACGTACTGGAAGAGCAGGAAAGAGTGGTTTAGCCACCGCGTTCTTCAATGAAAAAGACACTCCTTTAGCCCGGCCACTGTCCGAGCTGATGACCGAATCCAACCAAGAAGTGCCCAATTGGCTCGCGCAATTGGGCAGTAGGGCAGCCCTGGGTGGCGGTGGCCGTAACCGACGCTCAGGTGGTGGTTCCAGATTTGGAGGTAGGGACTACCGTAGAGAAGGAGGGGGTGGTGGTGGAAATAGGGGAGGTGGTGACCGCCATGGTGGTGGTGGCGGTTATGGAGGAAATTCAGGTGGTTATGGTGGATACGGAGGCAGCAGTAGTGCCTGGGATTAGTCTGTAGTAGCAGGAGCTTTAGGCAAAGGATGGCACGGTTCTGATTGAGGCAGTATTAGCACTGCAGCACCTTAATGACGCTTGACTTGAGGAGTTTTTCAATTTTTCCTAACCTGTACACCTGTGCATTAACTTTTGCCAAGTGTGTGGGCTACATAATTTTGCCCAGTTTCACACCACCTGCCATTTCTTTCTGGGTATGTGGAATACAGCTCCATTGTCCCCCCTGGGCTTTTGGGCATGCCCCTCCCTTGGGTAACCGTCGGCCATATGCGAAGGCAGGGAGTTTAGCATAAATGATTCCTCGGCAAACTCCGCCGGGTGTACGATAGTAGCCGCACCTGGCACAACCTATTCTTAGTAACTTAACAGCAGAGATGGGATCGGCAGTTAGCTGAGTCAGTGGTTACAGCATCCTCGAACACTACATTGTGCCAGAGCAGCTGTGGATGCGGGCCCGTATAAGAACTTCTATGCATGCAACAAGCGTCACAAAGTCCTTTGCCATAGAGCTCACCAAAGATGACTCCACGTTGCATAGAAGCGTTTTGGTTGGGTATGGTTGACATCAGCTCGGGATCATTGGGCTTGTCTGAGGCAAGGTACCATGCTGCCTGGAGGGGGACAGTGATTCTTATCAGATGGCTTTTCTTGCTTTAACTTTTGATTCTGGAAATGTATCGGTGAGGAGTGGGCCAGGGCAGCTCTTCCTGGAAGGGAGGCAATTTATGACTGATTTGTACAGTCAACAAAGTCACGGATCAGGATGTACATCATGAAATTTTTAGTTTCTTTTACCTAGTGGTCTGAGCTCACTAGTAATGCTCTGCTACCTGCTTATGGTTCAGCTCAGGCAACTGCAGAGTTTCTGGTCATCTGTCTCGGTTCTGACCGTTTTTTGACTCAGATTCCGAAAGTTCATGATCTATGTTAACTTTTCAAGACTGGCTGCCAGGTGATTCTTTACGAACGTCCGTCCATATCTGATTGTACTTGGTTGGATGGTTTGTGAAGAGGAGTAGGATTCTGCATCACCTAGTTGCCACCAATGACACTTAGCAGGAGTTTTAGACATCCAAGAATGCCATCAGGTCTAGAAGGAATTATGTAGGCAAAAGTTAGTGAAACTTTATGTGGTACACTCGTCTGTAAAGACATTGTGTTCAACATGAAATATCTTGTTGTCTCTGTTGTGTCCTATGCATGCGGTGTTGCCTGTTTGGTCTGTAGCATGGATCCGAGAAGAGATAAATGGAGTACTCTAGGACGTGAATCCTTTCTTGTTGTCTGTAAACCAATGATGACTCTTGGGCTTTAAAGCACTCACTAAATCTGCTACCTTTACTATTTCATTGCGTGAATATCTCACACGCTATGCAATTTCAATGTATGTTTTTACCATCGTATGTTCAATTTTATTGGTGAAATTTCCGCATTAATCGTCTTGAGTTACTTCACCATGTGTGTCGCACCAGTTTTCAATTGCTACTGTATTTGTTGGATAGGTGATGTGAACGTCGTGTGTGAACTTGTTGAGTCTGAATTTCATTCCTCAACGGCTGGGTGGGGCCCTCGCCAAATTTTTAAACTGAGTGAGTTAAGATGGAATCATACTTCATACGGAGAAGTAGAAGCATCGCCTCGTAAGGGTAATGGCCGGACGATTCGAATTTCATTGGCAAACTGTCCTAATCTCATTCAAACAGAGTACATCTGGGGTTTTTATGACAGGTTACTTGTTGGCTGATGTTTAGTTAGATAGGAAAGTCCCATGGCTGGAATGGGGGAGGGACATACTCTAACTGTGGGCCGAAACTGGTGGGCAGAGTTCCGATTGAAGACTGGATTCGGCTTGCAGAACATCTATTACTTAAATCTCGAATTCACAGCACAGTGTACACCTTCTGCAATTGCTAGCGAAGTCCACTCTCAACTTTGATGTTAGAACGTCTAGCACACAGCAAATGGTAAGGAAAATCTCCACTATCGAAAACACTACCGTTAAAAAGAATGCGAATATTTCATTATACACTTATATCTAGCACCGGCACGCAGTGAACACATGCATGTTTAAGCTTAACGGTAGTGGAACAAGCCATCATCAGATGATGCTAAGTCAACAATTCATATGTAGCTATACTACTGCCGGAGATCAATTCCGCCACGTAAAATTAGAATCTGTGTTAAGACCTGCGAGCAGTTAAAGGTTAGAATCCTCACCTTACCCTGGGGATGGGGGTATAACATGAAAGAAATGTGAAAATGAGCCAAGCGGCACATGCTGATTTCACCATCATCCAGGCATTTAATTCGGCTGATACCCAGCCGCCACACAGACGCAACCATCCATTAAAATGGCACTTAGAGAAATGGCACTCGATGTATAACAAACTCTATTTGAAGTGACAGTCATCAGCAGTTGTTGATTGACAGTTTATAGACCTCCTGGTATTGACGAGGATTCTGAAATGGGTGAAGTTTCATGAGATATTACATCTACGCCTCCAAAATCATTGACAAGAAACTAGCTATCATAAATCAATCACATTTAATCACATGAGATTTTACAAACAAACTACTCCATCATTTTTTCTCCATTATAGGCATTAAAAGTGACCACATTTGATCATGTAACTTAAAAAGAACTAAAAATAATTTGAGAAATAAACAACATCAATTATACACTTAAGTCGATTGATATACTCCTTGAAAATATGAAATTAAGCGAAAATTGCAAGGGATTGATTAAATCTTTCTATAAGGAATTATGATTCTTTTCGAGATTACAAAAGTATAATATATGAATTTTCAAACTTGCTTAAGAAATTCTTATGTGATGTAGAATTCTAAATTTAACGATTGGAGAACTCAACCTTCAGAAATCCACATATATATAATTCGATTTGAATTTTTATATATGAATTTTTTACGATATGATAGGATCTAATCATATAATTGACATTTTAAAGAATCAATGTAAATTATATTGAAATTTATGATGTACTTAGGTAACGTATATATGTGTAACTTTATTGATTTTGTCATGATAAAAGTTCAAAATATATTAACAAAATGTAAAATATAATCAATATCTAAAGATTATTTTTGTACATTTATCATGTTTATGTTTTTTTCATAATAAACGAATCTAATAATTTATATTAAAAAATATTTAAGGTGTTGAATATTTTTATTGTTTAGAATTTTAGACTAAATTTTTATATTGATGTATAATCAAAAAAATTTAAAATATCACATGTATTGATAAACAATAAATAGAAGTTAAAAAATATTAATTGATATAATTTTTTTGATTCTTTAAAAATTATTTAGATGAACTTTGAAATTCTTTTCAATTTTACACAAAATAATTTGATACATGTATGAGCATGAAAAGAGTTGAAATGTCATTGGTTATTTTTTGATTTGAATCAAGTTATATATGTTTATATATAATAATGCAAAAATAAACATGTCTAAAAAATATCATATTATGTCTTGATGAATTAAAATCAATTTAACATTAGTTAGTTATCGTGGTTAGTTTGTCATTATTTAAGAAAATTAATGTAAGATCTAAGTGTCATAATTATTGTTTTGACAAAAAAATTTCTTGTGTTACCATGGATAATATTTGTAAGGCAAATCAACTTTTTTTTCAAATGTCTATTGCAGTTTTTCTTGTACAAATTCTAAACAATAGTTATGAAAGCTTTGGTAGCAATAGAGTCAAGATCTGACTTCATATGGTTGAGTTTCTTAGACATGTAGCAAAGTTGCATGTTTAAGAACGTATAAGTTGTACCGTTTTTGGTGTCAATCTTCTACCTTTTTGATGAGATAATTGAACAAACAGTTGGAAAATTTGGAGTGCACTTTGAAAGATACTCTTGTTGATAAAAATTGTATGTGCTCTTTGGATTGCAATCCCAATTGAATTGAATTTCTTAATACATGTTTTGACTTCAAACACTCATCGTTAGACTTTATTATCACACCGATATGAATCAACATGTCATTTTGGGATTCAATGATTTGCTACATACTTTTTGAGAATTGAAAAATTAACTTCTAACCAAAATGTACACATTTGTAATTTTTCAATCTTTTTATGAGAATTGAAGAATTTAGTTTCCAACAAGAATGTGCACATATGTGATATTTCAATATTATAGATGAGGATTATGTTAGATTTGAAAGATAGATAGAATGTTGGACTTTGGAATATAATTTCAGCATGCTTCAAACCAGTTTTTTCACTTGTTTTTTTTTCAAAAATCTTTTAGAAGTTTGTCAATATAGTTTTCGAATATTAATCTAGTCTACACTAGTTGATTTTTCTTGTGTAAAAAGACAATTTCAAAAAAAAAATTTGGCACAAGAATGAAAATAAGTTCTCAGTTTTAGGTGTGGATTATAACAAACGTTGTCTTACATGTACCTCATCATGTTAGAATCTAAATTTCATGTGCATTTGAAATAATTTTTGGTCTAATAATAAAATAAAATAGATGTAATCACAACATCTTACTTTGAATTTTAAGAGAACAATAATATTTCTTTTAAGTACGCATCTTGATACTTAGAGTTTTGTGCCTACTTCACTAGTACATGCACACTTTAAACTCTCCATTGTCAAATCGATTGAGTTTTGCTGCAATTGATTTATCAGCCAGTGCCAGAATGAATTCTTGTGCTGTGCAGACTGTAGAGTCACAAGATAGTATTGATTTTCATGGATTTGAGTCTTTGTATAAGCAGATTTTTGATATTGAAAATCAGTTGGTTTGCACTGAAGTTCAAACAGATGTCGAAGAAGCATTTGACTATCCCAAAAAAATGTTTGAAGAATTTTAGTTTAAGTTCTAGTTGTTCTCAAAACTAGACGCAAAGTCAAAACCTGTGTTAGATGATAATGCATGATATGTTCCACTAAATTGTTGAACGCTAAAAAATTTGTCATAAAATGCGTATCTAATAAGCATACATATTTAAACAATTGCATACCTAAATGGAAGTATACTATACGTAAGACAATCAAGTGATATTGAAAAAATATATAAAGAAAATGTGATTTATAAATTATTGAAATTACGATATGCATTAAAATACATTTATTTTATCAAGGTTTGATGAATTTATTAAAGCACAAGGATTTTCACTCCATGTATATGATCCACATTTATTGATAAAAGAGTTCGATAATGAAACCTTTACAATCATTTTTTAGTGTTTTATCTTCATGACATGATCATTTTGACACAAAATGGATCAAAATTTGCATCTGAAATGAAAGATTTAAATGAATCTAAAAATCTAACGGTAAATCTCAGACTCAGCAAACCAACAACACGATAAATACAGAAGACACAAGTATAATGTGGTTCACCCTCAGGGGCTACGTCCACGGAGTAATAAGCTCGAGAGAGTTTACTGCTTGAAGTGAGAAACTTCTTATCAACCTCAAGGTATATATATCCATGGTAGTCAACCACTTTAAGATATAAATAGCTACATATGCAGTTGACCTTAGTTAACTCTTTAACCAAAGTTAACCTTAATAATCTCCCCCTTAACTCGCGTTAAGTAGTTTTAGTAAACTCTTTAGCCTATATTATTATTCAGCGGAAAGTTCTAGACAGAATCTTGACTCAAGGTATCTCTTTAAACGAGAGTTAACTAGAACTAAGCCGTAGCTATAACAAGATAGAGTAATAATATATAGAGATAATTCAACAATTTCAACTTAAGAAATTTCAGTCTACTCTCTACCCTATATTATTACTCTCATACCAAGATAGAGTAATAATACATAAAGGTAACTCAACAATCTCATCTTAATTCATGTCAAGTAATTTTAGTCACCTTTCTAACCTATATTATTTTTTTTGCGGGAAGTTCTAGACGGAAACCTACCACAAGGTGACTCCTTAAACGAGAATGAACTAAAACTAAGCCATAGCCATAGGAGGATAGAGTAATAATATACAGAGTTAACTAAAAACCATATTTCTCGTGCTTCTTATGCACAACTTGCATATTAGCACAATGTCGTTTGAAACTCTCTAAAGGAATAACTTTGGCTAACGCATCAGCTTGATTGAGTTTAACGTCAATCTTGACTAGCTCAATTGTTTTATCAGACACTGCTTAAAATCTAATCTATCTATTTAACATATCTAATAA